CCTAAGTATAGGTCCTTAAGGTAACAAAGGAAGTGGCTGTGTGCCAGAAGACGAAAGGATAAGCCCCCTCTCTCTCAATTGCCGGGAAGTTAATAAAACAAAAGGCCTGAGAGGTTTGTGAGCGTAGAAGCTAGGTAGAGGAGGAAGCCAGAGAGAAAGAGTAAGATCCTCTTGGGGTGTTAATAATGCTGTGAACCCCTCCATCATAGGCTCAGGTGGTATATAGGTGTAAATAAACCATAAATCCTAAAGACACCACAGCCTCCGCTGTCCCTCATTCCAAAGAGACCAAACCCTGGGACCCCTCACACCACTCAGAGATTGGGGTGGTGTGCAATAATACTGCATATTTTGGAAAGTTGTTTGTCGTCTTTGGTGAAAATATATTTTAACTCAATTTTGCGTGATGCGGCTCCTAAGATCAAGGCGCAAGTTTCTGTCCTTGTTGTAATACAGTTGGGCACCATTTTGAATCAAGATTGCAGATGGAACTTTTCAAACCTGCGCTTATTTCAAAACCGTGCTGGTTCTTTTGGTTTCCTAGAATTCCTCAGCCAATCTGGGTATGAGGCTGATGGTAATAAAATAAACAGAATCATAAAACGTTCGCAACTTTACAAACAGACCATTTGTTTTTTTCCTTTTGTTTTCTTTTAGAGCCGAATGAGGGTACAAAAGTCGGGTAAGTGTCCCTTGCAGGAGAGCTGTTCCTTCTCCCAAATATCACCCCCCCCCGCTTATTCTGCCCTGAGCCCCCCCTACACCCACTACTGAATCCCCCAATTCATGCCCTTTGTGTTTCCTTAGTCCCCTTCAAATCTTGTGATTCTCTGAATACCAGTTTCTGGGAATTACAAATAGGGGAGAGCTGCTCTTTTACTCAGGTCCTGTTTGCAGGCTTCCCTGAGGCATCTAGCGGGCCATTGTGAGAATCTGACTGAAATACAGTGGTGCCCCGCAAGACGAATGCCTCGCAAGACGGAAAACCCGCTAGACGAAAGGGTTTTCCGTTTTGGAGGTGCTTCGCAAAACGAATTTCCTATGGGCTTGCTTTGCAAGACGAAAACGTCTTGCGAGTCTCGCCTTTCCCCCCCCGCTTCCCCCCCCTTTTTCACAGCCACTAAGCCGTTAATAGCCTTTTAACAGCTTAGCCGCTAAGCCTTTAATAGCTGCTAAGCCGCTAAATCACTAATAGCGCTAATCCGCTTAGCCGAAAAAACCGCTAGACGAAGAGAATCGCGGAACGGATTATTTTCGTCTTGCGAGGCACCACTGTATATTCAGAGTCGAGAGTGGATTTCATGCTCTTTATTCAGCTCATAGTGGTGAGGAGGAATGAAAGTCCCCTCAAAGTATCTGCTTTATATACAGTGGTGCCCCGCAAAACGAATGCCTCGCAAGACGGAAAACCCGCTAGACGAAAGGGTTTTCCGTTTTGGAGGTGCTTCGCAAAACGAATTTCCTATGGGCTTGCTTCGCAAGACGAAAATGTCTTGCGAGTTCCTGCAGGGTTTTTCCCCTCCCCCCCTTTTCCCAATCCGCTAAGCCGCTTATCAGCTGATCCGCTAAGCCGCTAAACAGCTGATCCGCTAAGCCGCTTAACAGCTGATCCGCTAAGCCGCTTATCAGCTGATCCGCTAAGCCGCTAATCAGCTGATCCGCTAAGCCCGCTAAGCCGCTAATGGCGCTAATCCGCTAAGCCGCTAATGGGCTTGCTTCGCAAGACGAAAAAACCGCAAGACGAAGAGAATCGCGGAACGAATTCTTTTCGTCTTGCGAGGCACCACTGTACATTATTTACACAATGGGCTGCACGTGATTGGCTAATTCCGGAATTCTCCTGTAGGCCAATCAGGTTGTGGATTCACTTCCATCTGGAGCCGGATTGGGTGGCTCCTGCAGACCAATCACACTGCTGCATTGTTCTAGGACCAATCAGACTGCTGCATTTTGGATCCTATTGTTCTAGGACCAATCAGACTGCTACATTTTGGATCCTATTTAACTCAGTAGTACATAACACTGACCCAGCCTGATCCCGATTTGGCCTGATCCTGCAGGGCTCTGAGTACCAAAAAGTTAGGGGAGGGTTGCTATCATAGTCAGGTCCTGCTTGTGGGCTCCCTTCCCATTGGGGCATCTAGCTGGCATCTGTGAGAACCGGCAGCCAGGCTTTTATGTTCTTAAATACCCCTCCTTTCTATACCCCGATGTTGAGAGGTGCAGTGAGGAGGGGTAGGGCACATAGTGCTGCTTCCCCAACAGGATAATAATAATAAAAATAAAATTTTATTTATATCCCACCCTCCCCAGCCGAAGCTGGGCTCAGAGCGGCTAACAACGGTAAAATAATACAGCATTCTAAAATCTATGTGGGATGTGGGATTAGATCTCCGCCTGCCGCCTTGCTTTGAAAGAAAGGAAAAGAGCTGACTACATTCTTCTGTGATTCATCTCTCTAGTTCTTGCAGATTAAAAAGCTCCTGGAAAAATGCTTCCCGAACATGCTGGAAATTGTAAGTGACGCGCCTCTGTGGGCGGGACCAGGAGACAACACCTGGGGGATAGGAGGGAGTTTGGATGCGTTGCGGTACCCTCCACACCATACATTTAAAGTTCTGTACGTGACTTCTCCCTGTTGTAAACAAAAATTGCCCTTTTCCCTTATGGGGTATCCAAGTGTAGCACCCTGCTTGTGGTTAACGCTTAGCTGGAATGAAATGTTCAACGCAGCAACAGAGAAATTAAAATAATAATTTATTTGTCAGACAAATAAATGAGAGGCACAGTGGTATATGGTTACCAAGCTCTGGCCTGGCCTCCTGCCATTATGGCCAGCACTTATATTCCCTTAATCCAGCCCCCTTTGCTCCTCCTGTGGCTGCCTCTGTCCAATCAGCCTGGTTGAAATTCCTATTGGCTGATTGGTATGACCAATCACAAAAAGATACACCCATATCCTCCTGTCCTTATATGGAACACAAAGAGCTATATATTTTACATCTATAAATGACAAATAAGTAGTAATATATCTTACATGTGTCTCAACAAGGAATCTTAATTACCAGCTCACCTCTTGCCCTCCTTGCCCTATTGCCTTCTAAAACAAATGGTTAATCTTAAATTTTTATCTTAAACATATGTCAAGGATCTTGAGTTTCACATCAACATTGAAAGATCTCCTTCATTTGAAGGTTTCTAAACAAATGTCTGACAACTATATATATCAGGACTGCTTGGATGGCGTCTCCTGTCTGGCAGGGGGGGCTAGGCTGGTGGCTGACTTAATTTCAGGATAAATACAACTCTTACAACTATATGAAATAAGAATCTAGCATTTCTTAAATCCTTTGCATAATTACATCTATGCCAATACACTTAATACACAACACAGGTAGCCTCTTAAAAGGAATAAGGCCTTTGTAAAAGGAAGGAACAGTTTACATCCTCAAAATAAAATAGGAAATAAAAGCCTCTTCCCCTTCTCCAGCCAGTTGTTTTCTCTTCCATTTGCTCTTGGCCTTTTGTCCTGTGGCTCAAGTTTAAGGCACATGGTTTTATTTTACTGTTTACCAACTATTAATTATGTAGGGTCTGTGTAACCTTGGTCTTCAGCCTGTAATTCCAGCTTTTACGACTTTGAGAATTGTTTTCTGCTATAAATCAAGGGGCCCCTTGTCTAGGAGGAAAACATTGCCAAAGGTTCTCTAAACAGCTGGCATGAAACATTTGAAAATCTAAGCCCATTTAATTTAGGAACCTGATCAAGATATAAGCCAATATAAGTCTTGATTAAAAATGCAGTCTATATTCAGATGCCACACAAGAGCCCATATAGAGTCCTTACATAGGTTCCCTATTGGTAGGAGAAAATAACAGAGGCCAACCAGAGAATATTGAGAAGCAAAGCAGCTAGTAAGCCTGATCTTTATTGATCTGTTGCAACAGGGTGCTCCTCTCACACGCAAGAAAGGAGGAAGACCCAGAAAAATGGCATGCAAGGCCTTATAAAGACTTTTGAAATTGCCACCCTGTAGATCAAGGTTCATGCTGGCCACATGATCCGGAAGCTGTACGCCGGCTCCCTCGGCCAATAAAGCGAGATGAGCGCCGCAACCCCAGAGTCAGTCACAACTGGACCTAAAGGTCAGGGGTCCCCTTTACCTTAGATCAAGACCACCCCCAGAAACATCCTACATACATCACATAAGGGTTGTAACCTAAGACCACCCCTCAGATACATCACACCTACATGACAGAAAAGGCGGTCCAAAATAGAAATTTTAATATTGTTCTTCTCCTGTTTTTGTTTATCTCCTGTCTGGCAGGTTACTTGATCGTATTTCCTGGGTAGCCTGGCCAGTCTTTTGTAATGATAAATACTTAGTTCCTGGGCCAGGTCACAGGCTCACACCCTATTCAAACACAGACATATCCTTAAGACAGGATTTGTGAAGGAAAAGACAATGGGGAGGCTTTTCCACTTTGACCATGCAGAGAAAACATTTGCTCAGTTTAGGAATCAAAATGGTTCCAGGTTGGCCTTCCTGTGCTGATCTATGTATGTGCTTGGTTGGTACACTTATGAACATTACCATATATCTAAGACCTCAAAATTCCTATCACACCCCAAAAGGTTCGTGGAGCTACAATTCCCAGCACCCTTAAAAAACCTGCAGTTCCCATGATCCTCTGGGGGAAGCCAAGTGCTTTATAATTGTGCCTTCAATGTATGGTGTTGGTGTGAGCATGAATAGTGATCTTTGGTGCGAGCACAGGAATGTTTATTATTCCATTTATGTCACGCCCTTTCCCCCAAGGTGCCCAGGGTGGCATCGTTTCCCCACATGCACTGTGACCCTCACAACGACCCTGTGAGGTAGGATAGGCTGACTGTGAGTGACAGGCCCAAAGGTTTGCCCCATTACATGCTCACAATGACCCTGTGCAGTAGGTTGACCCAAGACAGTGACTGGCCTCACCCCACCCCGTTTTAAGTGTACAACAACCCTGTAAGGTAGGTGAGGGTGAGAGGGAGTCGTGGGCGCAAGTGCACACCCAATTTTATTCTCATAATGACTCTGTGTGGTCGATTAGACTGAGGGAGAGCGACAGGCCCAAAGCCTTCCTCCCAGTTTATCCTCTTTCTTTTCCTCTCTTCTTTTCCTGACTCCTCTCCAGGTTGGGGAAGTTGCTGGTCAAGGTGCCTTTGAGGTGGTTCTCCCAGCATCCGGTCAGATTTTGCACTCAAAGACGGTAAGTACCACCAAAATGGACTCTCTGATTTGGCACACACACCTGGTACACACTGTACATTTAAAGCTTCCCCCTAAGAATCCCAGGAACCATAGTTTGTTCATTATATTATATTATATTATTATATTATTATTTTTATAATTTCTATACCACTTTATATTTTAAAGAAAAACCTTGAAGGGGTTTGCAGCCTATTAAATCAGTAAAATATAAATAAAACAATCTGAAGAAAGTCAAATATAGAGTATACCAGGGGTCTGCAAACTTTTTCAGCAGGGGCCTGGTCCACTGTCCCTCAGACCTTCTGGGGGGCCGGACTATATTTTGGGGGTGGAAAATGAACCAATTCCTATGCCCCACAAATAACCCAGAGATGCATTTTAAATAAAAGCACACATTCTACTCATGTAAAAACATGCTGATTCCCGGATCGTCTACAGGCCGGATTTAGAAGGCGATTGGGCCAGATCCGGCCCCCGGGCCTTAGTTTGCCTACCCATGGAGTATACAATCAAAGCAACATAACACAAAAGTAAAATATTATCTTAAAGATTTAAAAATAAAACATTAAAAAGGAGGTTAACTACAGAATACATATTTTAACATTTATTATAGATCCAGGGATTCATAACTCTGTGAGGGATAAACTACAGTTCCCATAATTATTGGGCAGGGCAAGAAATGTGCATTAACAAAGAAATGCTTTGTACGCGGCCGTACTAACACATCCACATAACACGTTTCTGGAGTTCCTGGAGAATATGACAGCATATGGGTTTGATTCTGCCGTAAGTCGCAAAAACTTACAACCTACAGACAGTGGTACACCCAGGAATCAATATACAGTAAATCCACAACTTACACACATTTAACTTGTGTGCCTTCAGCTTTGTGTGTGTGGCAAAAAATAGGAATTAAGAAAGGGCAGTTCCAGGAAAATGACTTGGCAATCCCACCCACCATTGAACCCAATATGTTTTGACAATACGTGGCTTTTGGCTTTAGGCACGATCCCCGGAATGTACCCCCCATGTAAATTGTGGGCTTGCTGTGCAGAACTGGATAGTAGATTCATAGAAATGTAGAGTTGGAAGGTATCCTAAGGATAATTTAGTCCAACCCCTTGCAATGCAGGAATCTCAACGAAAGCACCCATGACATATGACCATATGACTCCTGCTTCCAGGGCCGTCTTTACCTGGGGGTGCAGGGCACCCGGGCACTGAATTCTGGGGGATGCCAATTGTATATCTACTGTATACTGGTCCCTCTTGATTGGTGGCCGTGAAAAGCAATGGAGCGAAAGTCCCCATCCCCCTCCTCTGTTGCTCTGTTATTCCATAGCGTCAAATATTTCTGACGACTCAGGAAACAAAAGCGCCCACTGCCCAAAAAAAGCTCAACAACTTTGGCTTCCCCCTCCGAAAAAAAACTCAATAAAAGTTAATTTGGGTGCGGCTAAACTAAATCTGTCAGGGACGCGGGTGGCGCTGTGGGTAAAAGTCTCAGCGCCTAGGGCTTGCCGATCGAAAGGTCGGCGGTTCGAATCCCCGCGGCGGGGTGCGCTCCCGCTGCTCGGTCCCAGCGCCTGCCAACCTAGCAGTTCGAAAGCACCCCCGGGTGCAAGTAGATAAATAGGGACCGCTTACCAGCGGGAAGGTAAACGGCGTTCCGTGTGCTGCGCTGGCTCGCCAGATGCAGCTTGTCACGCTGGCCACGTGACCCGGAAGTGTCTTCAGACAGCGCTGGCTCCCGGCCTATAGAGTGAGATGGGTGCACAACCCTAGAGTCTGTCAAGACTGGCCCGAAAGGGCAGGGGTACCTTTACCTTTACCTAAACTAAATCTGGGGGTACTGGGCAGAACTTTGCACCCCAGCAGCAAATATACTAAAGACAGCCCTGCTTGCTCCCTTCCAGAGTTGTCAGCTGGGATGTTCTGCCTGCCTTCTACATTTCTATGAGGTAGCTGAACATTTAGAGCTGAGGTGCCCCCTAGTGCCCATACCCTCTCCCAATGTTTGAAAAAGCCCAAATAAGATACAGTAATAGTTTGTCCAGGTACCACTTCCAGATAGGCGGTTGTTGTTGGAATCATTGCTGCTCTTGAATGGAGGTATTTCACAGCATCTAGATGATGCTCTCATCATGAAAATGCCAACCTGTACTCTTTTTCTTCTTCTTCTTTTTTCTACATATAATCTGGATTTATCATTACTATTTCTTGTTATTTAAACAATTTCATTTTTATGTAATATACACCCACCCACCCACACCACCATATCATAAAATATCTGGGCAATGTGTATATATATATATATATATGCAGGTTTTGGTGTCCTCGGGTGTCTTCCCGTGTAAAAGTTGGGGTGTCTAGGCGACGTTTCGACTAGTTTCCAGATGTCTGGCAGGCGGGATGTGTCGTCACGCTTGTTCATGTTGTGAGGGTGTTTCTCTATCTCGATGGCTTCCATGATTATTCTCTTGTGGTGATGTTCCATGTTAAAGAGCAATTTGGAATCTGCAAAATTAATTTCGTGTCCTGTTTCTTTCATGTGTTGGAAAAGAGAGGAAGTTTTTTCTTCTTTTTTGACGGCATTCTTGTGTTCTGCGATACGTGCATTTATTCGTCTGTTTGTTTGTCCAATGTACGTGGCTGGGCAGACTTTGCAGGGTATTTCATAGACCCCTTGGTTTTCCAACTGGATTTTATCCCCACAAAAAAAAAAAGCCCTCCCCACAAAAACCGACACCAGATCCAGAGGCACACAGAACGCCATCACCAATCAACCACACCAGACCCAAACCCAGACCCTCTCCACAGATAAATTACAGACACCATCCAGTAGCCAAACCATGGTGGCACCTCCGGATGCTGCACCCCCCTGCAATCCCTACACAGATCTGGCTGGCACAGGCCACAAAACCACAGCTCGCCCCTATACACGAAGCCAAGCCAGAGCACAACTAAGTGCAGTACAGCCATCTTCTCAGAAAAACTCTTCACAAAGTTCAAGAGGTCAAGACACGAAGGCTTTAGCAACTAATCCACACCTAATGACCCACCTAAGTGGTACTCAGGATATCACTCAAGAAATCACTCAAGATATCCCTCAAGTAATTAAGGAACAAAAGAAGAAAAGGCACACTAGCCTGGGAACTTCCTCTCTGCCCAGAACATTGGAGGCTATACACCACACCTCCTCAACAGTATTTATAGGAACTCAAACACTGAGATCCTGCTCTGTTCCAGTAACAAGAAGCCGAAAGCACCAGCCTGAAGATGACGAGTGAGACCTCGTCGAAACGTCGCCTAGACACCCCAACTTTTACACGGGAAGACACCCGAGGACACCAAAACCTGCATTCCTGTACCCGTGAAAATCTACGAAAGCAAATATATATATATATATATATATATATATACACACACACACACACACACACACACACACACATATATATATACACAAACATATATATATACACAATGATATATCAAACACCATTATAAAAAGACAAAATAATCATTTAAATGACTGGCCAGTCGGCCTGCTGGCATAAAAAAAAACAAAAAACTCATCAGATGACAAGAGACCATCTATATTTCTGTATTGCAGGGGGGTTGACTAGATGGTCCTTGGTGTCCCTTCCAACTCTGCAATTCTATGATATACTGTTAAACAGCTCCCCTTGGCTTACCTCCCCCTACTTAGCATCACCGGGGTGACTGTCCCATGCCTCTCCTTTCTTCTCCTGGCCCAGACACTCGCTTCCCTTAACCCACCTCTATTCACAATGATACAACACAAAGAAAGATTCAACCATCCCAGCTGGAGACCACCCCACCTCTCACCTGGGGCTTTGCCTCCCCTTCCCCTTGCCTCTCACCCAAGGAGACACTCTACCACTCGCCAGTAGAGACTCTCACCCTGAAAGGGTCAAGTGGCTTTGTCCTACACACCACTGGTCTCTTAACCTGGAGAGCCCCAAACCTCTGACCTGAGCTATCCAGCAGCTCAGATTTGGCAAAGTGCAATGGTTTAGGGAGGAGCTCCTCTCGGATCTAGCAGGTGGTTTCGTGTGTGAGAGACTGGCTCAGTTTCTTAGGGAGTTTCGCTCAATTTGTCAATCCGACTCCATAGCAAACATCAACAAAACATGGAGCCAATTGCTTTTCTATTAGCTTGCGATTAAAAAAATAAATAAATATTGGCTTCCTGGAAGGGGCTGGTGGGGTCTAGGGGCAAAACTTGGGAGGCCTAAGTAAGAGCTAGGGTGAATTATGGTAACTCAGGATTTATATGCAAGTCCTACTACAAATTGCAAAAACACATAGAGTTCCTCTGAGCAAATGTAAACAGCAGGTGGCCAGGTTTCCACTAGGACTGCACTTTGCACAGTGGCTGGTTGCTCTGCAAGCAAAGTAAAATACTGTAAAGTATATAAAGTTTTAAAAATGAGGGAGGGGCAGGAAAGCCCTCTGGGCCACCCCCCTGATGACACCCTTAGAAAAGTGCACATCTTAATTCAGTTTGCAGAGGAACTGAAATCGTGGGAGAGGAGCTCCTGTGTGGTTTAGCTGCATCTTGCTAATCTGATTGGTTCATGTGACTGGTAGTGATGTGCTTCTGAGAATTGATAGCCGTACCCCCACACAAAGAAAACTATAGGAAGGAGGGATCACTTTCCATGCTGCATCCATTCATTCCGGTTTTTACTCTTCTGGACATTTTTTAAAAATCAAAATCAAAAACTTTCCTAACCACTCTTTGGGTTGTATTATCCGATGCTAGTCCTGCTCAGAGAAAGCCAATTGAAATGAATGAACCTAAGGCCAACCTGTTCATTAATGTCAATACGTCTATGCTGAGTAGGACTAGCATGGGATTTAAGCCTTTGTCCCCAGTTGCTCAGACTGTGGCACATGATCCCCCTTTCATCCTTGTAACACCCCTGTGAGGCAGGTTAGTCTAAGTGGAAATGCCTGGCTCAGTGTCACCCACTGAGCAGGGCACTGGACCCAGGTCTCTGCAGTCATCACATTATAACACTGCAACTGAAGGATGGGGGAACCTGCAGCCCTCCAGATGTTGCTGGACATTGACTTCCATCAGGTTCTGCTGACTGAGGCTGATGGGAGCTGAAGTCCAACAGCACCCAGAGGGCCAACTTCTGCTCTAACCACCGTGAAGCCTTGCCCTGCAGGGCTGTTCTGCAAAAGTCAAGAGAGGGACTAGTAATGCGTCTTCCTTCCCCTCCCTTTAGGATGGCGATGGGTTCGTGGACACCAATGATAAGGTGAAAAAAATCTGCACTGGCCTCAGAGCGAACCTGAAGACCAAGAGCAAATGGAATCCCACAAAAGAATTGGAATCGTTTGCAATCGTGGGTGCGCAGTCGTCAACAGAAAGCCAAGGGATGGGCAAATCAGAAACCAATCCATCATTGCAGCGGGCTTCAGACCATCAACCGTCAACACTGGTGCAGGTGCAAGAACGGCGATCAGTACCGAAGCCGAAGTTGGAACAACCGCCAACGGTGAAACAGGTGCCAAAAGGCTGATCAGCACCGGGGCCGGCATTTGGGCAACCATTAACGGTGGAGCGGATGCCGGAGATGTCAAAAGGCTGATCAGCACCAAGGCCACCCTTCGTACAACAGTCAGTGGTGGAATGGATGCCGGAGGTGCAAAAGGGCTGATCAGCACTGAAGTCGGAGTGCGGGCAACCGTCAACGGTGGAATGGATACCGGAGATGCCAAAAGGCTTATTAGCACCAAGACCGCCGCTTGTACAACAGTTAACGCTGGATCGCTCTCTGAATGTGCCCAAAGGCTGATCAGCACCAAAGGCGGCATTTGGACAACCATTAATGGTGGAGCGGATGCCGGAGATGCCAAAAAGCTGATCAGCACCAAGACCGCTGTTTGTAGAAGAGTCAACGCTGGAACGCATGCTGGATGTGCCAAAAGGGTGAACAGCACCAAAGACAGTATTTGCACAACCATTGATGGTGGAACGAATGCCGGAGGTGCAAAAAGGCTGATCAGCACTGAAGGCGGAGTTCGGACAACCATCATCGGTGGAACAGATGCTGCAGGTGCAGAAAGGGCGACCAGCAGCACCAACGCCGGCATCGAAGCAACAGTTAACGGTGCAACGGACGCTGGAGGTGCAAGAACAGCAATCGGCATCAAAGCCGGCAGCGGAACAACAACTGTTAACGGTGGGACAAATGCTACAGGTGCAAAAACAGCAGTCAGCATCAAATCCAGCGTCGGAAAGATCATTCACAGTGCGACAAATGCTGCAGGAGCAAGAACAGCTGTCAGCATCAAATCCAGCGTCAGAAAGATCATTCACAGTGGAACAAACGCTGCAGGAGCTAGAACAGCAGTCAGCATCAAATCCGGCATCAGGACAAGTGTTAACGTTGGAACAAATGCTGCAGGAGCAAGAATCAGCGAACGACGAAGGCCCCATTCCAGGGAGGCCCGCATTCATCAAGACGACCAGGTATCGGGGTGCTGGGGGATTGGTAGAGTCTTGAAGTGATGGGCAGAAATATTTGCTTGGGGAGGCCAAATTAGGCTCGCAGGCCCAGGGTTCACCCCACCCCGTTTTAGACAAGGGATGAGAAACCTCAGACCAGGCATCTCTGGCTGACCCTTGGGCCACGCTCCCTCCTCAGGCACACCACTTCTCTCCAGGTCACACCCCTAACTGAGACTCCTCTTTTTCACTCATACAGGAGGGAAACCAAACATTAAAACTCTGCCACTTGGCTAAATGGCAGTAGCAGTTCTTTGCACTTGGCTTGAAATGTTTTGAAATTTATTGACCAATTGAGGGTTCCTCCTGACATCCTTCTTAATGTCCATTTGTGCTCATGATGGTGTCGGGGCTGTCATACACCACCCCAGTTTCAGTACTGTACTTGTTTGTGCCTACAAAGATTTTGGGGTGGACACGCTTCCAGTCTGCCCATGCCTTGAAACTTCCTGCTAAACTTCTTGAGCACTCTTTCCCCCCTCTCCTTAACAGCATAAGAAGGGTCCTGCTGTATCAGGCCAGGGGCTCATCTAATACATCATCTTGTTCTCGCAATGGCCAACCAGGTGCCCCAATGGGAACAAGACCTCAGCACAAGAACACTCTCCCCTTTTGTAGTGTCCAGCACCTGACATTCAGAGGCCTAGTGCCCCTTGACAAGGGAGGGATAATAGTCAACACAGCCAGTGATTGATAGGCAGTGGCGTAGCGTGGGTTGCCAGTGTCCATACAGAATATGCATGTGCATTGAACTTACTAACAGCCTCTGCATCACCCAGGAGATCACAGCCTCAGAGATTAAAAAAAAGAAGAGTTATTTTGTTGTCTGGAGAGGTCACTTCTTGGAGAAGCTGTTTTAAACAGAGTCCAGCAATGGAAGTCCATAGTTGTACTGAGGCAGCACCGGGTGTTGAAATTCTGTCCCCCTAACAAATTTTGCACCCAGGGCAACCGCCCCTGTGGCCCCCCCACGCTACGCCACTGTGGATAGCCTTATTTTCCGCCATCAGATCAGATCCAGTAGTATAGTGGGCCCCTGTTCAGGCCAAGATGAGAAGGCATCTCATGCCACACAGCTCTTCCCTTAGATTAGCTGCAAAGGAGGGACCTGTCACTCAGCAGCCGTCCAATATACACATTGCTGCCTCCTTTGCCTCAGTCCAGCCTCTCACTCTTTCCTTCTGCTTTTAAGGGCGGGGAAACCCCTCCAGAAGCAGAGAAAGTAATGGTGGGTGGGGCCTCCTGGCCTACTCATTGAAGAGATGGCTGTTCTAGGACGGCCAAATGGCTTGTGCCAACCACACCTTGCACTTGCCACAACTGTGGAACAACTTCTGCCCCCCAAAAAAACTCTGCAACATTGAGTTGCGAGTACTAGGCTGGCCAAACCTGCCAGTCTGAATTTCTCACTTTCCCTAAGTTTGGTTCTCCACATTTCCACATCAGTTTGCTATTTTGTTTTTAAAGCCCTCTTGAAAATTCACCAGCATCTTAGTGTGAATTCCTCTTAATTTGCATTCTTTTGGTATTCAGTGCACATTTTTGCAAAGCTATTTCCCTGGACGCATTTGTGCCTTTTATATTCAGGGATACATGCATCTTTATGCACACGTTATCCTGGTGTTTTCACATTGCTTGGCTGGGGAACTGCACCGCAAAATGCGGAGATTTTTAAGGGTTAGGGTTAGGGTTAGGGTTAGGGTGTTTTAATTCACTATTGTTCCAGGAAGGGACGTGGGTGGCGCTGTGGGTTAATCCACAGAGCCTAGGACTTGCCGATCAGAAGGTCGGTGGTTCGAATCCCCGGGACGGGGTGAGCTCCCGTTGCTCGGTCCCTGCTCCTGCCAACCTAGCAGTTCGAAAGCATGCCAAAGTGCAAGTAGATTAATAGGTACCACTCCAGCGGGAAGGTAAACGGTGTTTCCGTGCGCTGCTCTGGTTCGCCAAAAGCAGCTTTTTCATGCTGGCCACATGACCCGGAAGCTGTACGCCGGCTCCCTCGGCCAATAAAGCGAGATGAGCGCCGCAACCCCAGAGTCGGTCACGACTGGACCTAATGGTCAGGGGTTCCCTTTACCCCTTTACCTTTATTGTTCCAGGAAGTGTGAATTCCGTAGATCTGCAAGCTGATTCAAATTTCTCCTACCTCCCTCCCTGAGTACCCCTGATCCGCTTTCCTTCTTCCTTCAGGAAGTGAAGGTGCCGTTGGAGAGCAGATTATGCCGGGATCGTCCGAAAAGGTGGAACGACCTTGGGCGATCCTTGATAACCCCCTGCCCTCCTCAGCTAGGATCCCCCACCTAGCTGGCAATAATATTAATAATAAAAATTTGGAAAATCTATAGGATTGTATTATTCTTTGCTTTATCAGGGTGTGGGGAAGAAATCATCCCTGCTGCAATCCTGGGAATCGGGTATTAGAAACACCACATTTTTTTTCTTCTATTTGCCCTGTTTGCAGTTTACATTATAGCAGAGATGGCGGCATCCGAACTCGGCACACGAAGGTGGGAAGTGGGGTGAAGAGTCCTTGGGTGGTATCCAACTAAATCATAGGGATGGGGAAATCTGTGAGTTTTGGTTTATCTTAGTTTCTCATTTTTTCCAGTCGTAAATTCAGTTATCCACATTTCCACTTTGGTTTGTGAACATTTTTATAACGTCATCAGCATTTTAGTGCAGATTTCGCAAGGCATTTCCTCCATCTTATTTCCACAAACAAATGCATTTTTAATGCTCACTTTACTGCATTGCAAAATCCAGAGAGGCGTGGGTTTCAAAGGACTGCTGTGTTTCCGTTTTCAGATTATTTCAGAAAGTGCAAATTAGGTACATTTGCCTTTAAATGTGAACTGAATCAAATCCCCCCCCCATCCCTCCTTGGAATACAGTGGTACCTTGGGTTACAGACGCTTCAGGTTACAGACGCTTCAGGTTACAGACTCCGCTAACCCAGAAATATTACCTCGGGTTAAGAACTTTGCTTCAGGATGAGAACAGAAATTGTGGCGTGACAGCGGAAGGCTCCATTAGCTAACGTGGCACCTCAGGTTAAGAACAGTTTCAGATTAAGAATGGACCTCCAGAACAAATTAAGTTCTTAACCTGAAGTACCACTGTAGACCCTACCTCTGAAACCAATGCCCATGATTCTGCGTGCAATAAAGGAGGATTCTGTGGCCTATATAAATATTTCGTTCATATTAGGTGGACTTCTATTGATTTGCGTAAATCACTTTGTAAATTGTATCATGAGGACTAGAAACTTGCATCTAAAAGAAAGAATGCTGAGATTCCCAGGAACCTCAGCATCGTGCCCACTCATTGTTCGAAGGACATAGATGATGTTTGGCAGTGGAAGAGACTATCTTGGAAGGTGGTTGACTCTCCTTCATTGCAGGTTTTTAAACTGAGATTGATGGCTATTTAGCTGTGGAACCTGCAATGCAAGGGATTGGACTAGATGACCCTTTTTTGGCGGGGCTCCCTTCCAATTCTACAATTCTATGATTCTCTATGAAATTGAAGCTGCTGTGTCTTTCTAGTGCCTCCCTCTGATATTGTTAAATGCACAAATCAAGCAATTTGTTAGAAGTTTGTTCGGAGATATATATTAAACACTAAATCACCAAGAGGCACAGCCCACCATTATTTCTCGTTGCTTCTCTTCAGCACCATGTAACAGCAGTGGCGTAGCGTGGGTTGTCAGCACCCGGGGCAAGGCAAGTAATTTGCGCCCCCTAACCCGTGGATTTGCACCCCCTAACCCCCAGATGTTGCGCCCGGTGCGGCCGGCCCCCCTGCACCCCCCACGCTACGCCACTGTGTAACAGGGCATGTGTCCCAGTCACACAAAGGCTGCAAATAGTCCAGTCAACAACCTGCAGTTTCAAGTCACAAATCTCCCCCGCGCCTCCACCAATTCACCGTATTTTTCGCTCTATAAGACGCACCAGACCACAAGACGCACCTAGTTTTGGGAGGAGGAAAACAAGAAAAAAAATATTCTGAATCTCAGAAGCCAGAAGAGCAAGAGGGATCGCTGCGCAGTGAAAGCAGCGATCCCTCTTGCCGTTCTGGCTTCTGAGATAGCTGCGCAGCCTGCACTCGCTCCATAAGACGCAAACACATTTCCCCTTACTTTTTAGGAGGGAAAAAGTGAGTCTTATAGAGCAAAAAATACGGTATTACTGCGGACACCCGTAACATCACCTAGCTAGAAAGCAGGACGCCTGTAGCAGAGAAAAATGGAAATTTGTGAGGTACTCTTCCCCTACCCCCCCCACCCTGGTCTCCCACCTCTCCCACCCCCCAAGTGGTGCATCTGTTCAGCTCACACCGTGGTCTCGTATTCCATGACCATGGCAGGGCACGGGGCCAGGCACCTCTTTCGTGGCGCCCCCTCGCACCACCCGCCACCCGGACAAACGCCAAGATCTGGCTGAACTGTGGCGGCATGAACGCCATGCTCGCAGAACACCCGCTGGACCCTGTCCATCACGGCCTCGCACGTGGCCACGTCCCGGCAGCGCACGTGGGCCGTGCCCACTAAGCTGCTGGGCCCGTCGAGCTGCCACACACGGAGGTCCCGCACGGCCACCACGCCTTCCGTGGCCCGCAGCTGCAGCTCCAGCAGCCCCAGGTCCAGCTCTTCCGGTGCCGCCTGCATGAGGACCAGAGCGGAGCTGTGCAGGGCCGGCCACGCCAAGCACAGCAGGGCCACCGACACAGCCACGGCGAGCCCAGGGTCCAGGTAGAGCAGCCAGCAAGGGGCGCGTCCCCACTGCAGTGCCTCCGCAGTATGCCAGGCCCAACAGGTTGACCTGGGGCAGTGGCTGAGGCAGGCTGCGTTGCCCAGGCAAGGAGGCCACAGCAGGTGGAACATGAGAGAGTACAGAAGGACGGCCGCAGGGCCCAGGCAGGCGACCACCCGACCAAGGCAAAGCGTTGTCCACTGCCCCAATTTTTCTGAGGGTGGCATGGGGCTGGCCTCCCTGTCCTCCTCCATCCAGGGCTGCCCGTTGGCCGAGGAACCGTTGCCCAGCAGATCTGTAGATGAGGAAAAAGAACCAGAAGCTTAGAGAAGGGACAGGCAGGACCAAATTACAGTGGTACCTCAGGTTACATGCGCTTCAGGTTACACACTCCACTAACCCAGAAATAGTGCTTCAGGTTAAGAACTTTGCTTCAGGATGAGGACAGAAATCGGGTTCTGGCGGCGCGGCGGCAGCAGGAGACCCCATTAGCTAAAGTGGTGCTTCAGGTTAAGAACAGTTTCAGGTTAAGTACGGACCTCCGGAACGAATTAAGTACTTAACCTGAGGTACCACTATAAGACCTTTAGAGGCCCTAAGCACTTAAAATATTTTGGAGCCCCCATATATATCTAATTTGAAATATAAACAATAATAACCCTTTTTTAAAAAAAATCGAAATGACATGAAACCTACAGTAAGATGGAAAATAATGTTCATTTTTGTATGCTTCCGCTTTATTTGACCACATTTCTCCTACTTTTTCTAATTGCCATGTCTTTGATCAGATCCTCGAAACTAACCTTAGGTAACATGTTTGCTTTTGTACTTCATAGAGAAGTACTGCCTTGTTGCATAGCTCAATTTCAACTGAGCTGAGCAATTGGTGGCCATTAACGTTAAAAAATCTGGCAATGGAAAAGTTCTGTGGTGACCTGCTTCCCTTGATGCCCCAGGCAGGTGATTATTTTGCTTAATGGTTAATCCAGCCCTCAGGACAGGCCTGAGACATTTCCTTATGTGGGAGTTAAGAGGTGGATGAGCTTGTCAGGTTCAGGTTCTCTCAGTTTCGAATATTTCCAAGTTTAGAATCCTAGAACTTTAGAGTTGGAAGGGACCATGAGGGTCATCTAGTCCAACCCCCTGCAATGCAGGAATCTTTCACCCAACATGGGGTTCAAACCCATGACCCTAACATATCCATTTTTATGCACACTTTAACTGAACATATTTTTGTGCACGTTGGTGTGAAGAACTGCAGTGCAAAATTGTGAGAAGTGCAAATTTCTATGGATAGGTGTTAGTGTCTTGGTTCGAGACGGACAAATAGGGTCATTTTTCAGTAAAATGCAAAAGGAATCTAATTTCTCTGCCATCCCCAGATGTACATCACAGAAAGGAGAACTGGGGGAGCAAAGATCAGATCCAAGGTCTATCTGAGTCAGCACTGTTCCAAAAAAACTGCCTGAAGCCTCTGAGAAGCCAATAACCTTCCCTTGTTGTTTGTCCACAGCAGTTGAGAGCAGATTGGCTCTGAATATGGAGGTGCCATTTGGCTATCCTGGCTGGCTGTGATGATCAGCCCTATCCTTCACTGCAGCCACCTCTACTGCGGAAGAGGCAAGCCATTTTCCCTAAGAAATAAGCACAGCTTGCCTCTTCAGCCGTCATCAGAAACGTCTTTAGAGCATAATTCTTGTTATTTTCCTTAGGTTTCCAATTTTCGAACTACTGGATTAGAACCTGTGGCCCTCCAGATGCTGTTGGACTCCAATTCCCATTGCCCCCAGGTCATTGGCGATGCTGGCAGGGGCTGATGGGAGCTGAAGTCCAAGAAACATTTGCAGGTTCTCCACCCCAGGATTTGATAGCCCAAGCATGGCCAACATGGTGCCTTACACAGATTGCTGGACTCCAGCTCCCATCAGCCCCAACCAGCATAGCCAATAGTCAGGGATGATGGGAGTTGGAGTCCAAGAACATGCAGAGGGCACCACATTGCCTATACGGTGGTACCTCCGGTTAAGAACGTAATTTGTTCTGGAGGTCTGTTCTTAACCTGAAACTGTTCTTAACCTGAAGCACCACTTTAATGGGGCCTCTTGCTGCCGCTGCGCCGCCACTGCACGATTTCTGTTCTCATCCTGAATCAAAGTTCTTAACTTGAGGTAATATTTCTGGGTTAGCGGAGTCTGTAACCTGAAACATATGTAACCCGAGGTACCACTGTACATGAGACAGTCCATTCGTTTCTTCCTACTCTCCTTCCCTGCCCCCCTCACACTCACAGTGTAGGCTGCTTCATTAGGGCAATTGGGGCACTGCCCCACCCACCTCAGTCTGCCCCCTACCAGCCATACCTGCCCGTCTTAATTTCTTAGAACAAACCCAGAGGGTGTCACAACCTGCCAGCTTCTTCCTTCTCAGTCTGAATGTTGTCCTTGTAGAACTCAGCAGGGAAGAGAATGTGGGCTCTGCATGCCATTGGCTCTTGACTCCATCCGTCACTGGCCCTGATTCTGCCTTCTATTGGGCTGCCTGCCCTCTGCCCCGCCGGTCCCAATGCTCCCCAGTCACTCCTTCACACGAACTCACCTTCCATCTCCTGGGCACAGCTGTCTCCTTCAGTCACCCTCCTCCTGCTGCAGCACGGCCTGGCGCCCGGGTCTTGGGGCTGCTGGCCATGCAGTCCCACCCTGGCAAGGTGGATCGGGATCCCCACGGCCCCGATCCCCATCAGGGCCAACGCATGCTGTGTGACGTGTGGATCGGCCACCCTGCGGAGCGCCTTGGGCAGGAGCGCAAGGCACAGGGCGCTCAGGAAGACGGCGCTGGCCAGGGTGCCCGCAATGCGGGCTCGCACCCACCCGAAGGTATTCCTCCGACTGGGGTGTCCTCCGGTCACCAGCCAGGCATCGGTCAAGGCCACAGCAAGAGCCAGCGCACCTCCCAGGGTGTGGAATGCGCAGGAAAGCAGGAGCAGTGAGCCGGTCACCCGGCTGGCTACCAACTCTACCAGGAAGAGGCAGGCGGAGAGGCAGAAATGGCCGACAGGCCAACCGGTGGAGCCCACCACTGCCCACAGAGGCGAGGAGCCCTCACCCATCCAGGATTTATTTCTCAGCTGGGCTCCCATCTCTGCCTTCTACTCCCAGTCAGCTGTCACTCCGGCCTCCGATCTCCTCCAACCTGTGTCCTCTTCTTTGCCTTGATGCCCACCTCTTCTGAATCGTCCTGTTGGCTCCAGCCCCTCGCCCAGTTCTGGACCTGCTTATTCCTCCGTCCGCCACCCCTGCAGCCCCTGGTGCACGCTCTCTCCCAATCTTAGATGTTGCCCGGTTTCTCCTTTGCTGGCCCCCTTTGGCCAGAGACCCAGGCCTGGCCCCTGCCCTGCAATCTGTTCCCAGTTTCTCGCTCTCTCGCTGTGTGTGTGTGCTTTACACTTGAATAAAGTTTTGCACTCGGAGACCAGTGCACACTGCCCCTTGGATTCCAGGGGTCCTTTAAAGAGGCAGTTCCCTCTCTCTTCCACACACACTCTCTCTTGCCTTTGGCCTTCTGCCCAGGCTTCCACCAGCTGCAGAAACCAGGTCATAATGATGCATGTGATTCTCCCCCTGCCACAATAGGAGGGAGGAGAGTTGCAGAGATCCCCCCCCACACAACAAACCCTACTAGGGTAAAACGCGAGGGCTTGCGAGGTCACGGTTCTGGTGTATGTGAGATCTTGCAGAATATTCCCCACCAGCTCCCATCCCCATGACTGCTCTGCAGCCAAAAAAACGGCTTAGCAAATGCCAGTCGCCACCAGCTTCACTAGGGTGGGGGCAGAGAAATGCATTTGCCAGCCTGGCTGAGCTTTGTGTAGACTGCAATCGTAGCAGTGGGTGTGCTGAACCATTGTCTTGCCTTGGTAATGGACTGGATGAGAGCCAGGAAACTGGAGCTCCATCCGGACAAGGCTGAGGCACTGTTAGTGAGAGGTTCTCCAGACCAGATGGATGGGAGGGTTGCCTGCTCTTGAGGGAGTTACACTCCCTCTGAAGAAGTGGCTATGCATCTTGAAGGTACTTCTGGATCCTTTGCTGTCGCTTGAGGCTCAGGTGGCTTCGGTGGCATGGAGTGCCTTCCGTCAGCTTTGGCTGGTGGCCCAATTGCGCCCCTGTCTGGACAGGTATAGCCTAACTTCTGTCATCTTCGCTCTGGTAACTTCTAGGTTAGATTACCGCATTGCGTTATACGTGGGGCTGCCTCTGAAAACGGTTCAGAAACTTCAGCTGGTGCAGAATTCAGTGGCCAGGTTGCTCACAGGAGCAAGACAGTTTGAGTCCCTGATCTGGATGGCTTTCAAAGAGGATTAGGCAAATTTATGCAAATCGCAAGCAGGGAGAGTTGCTGCTGCCCTCAGGTCCTGCTTGCAGGCTTTCCATTGTGGGGAATCTGGGGGTCTGGCTGATCACTGTGAAAAAAGGATGCTGGACCCAGCCAGGGCCTTGCAGAGCCAGGCAGAGGCCCGGGCCAGGTAGATAATGTGCCCCCTCTTTTTTTTAGCTAGGGGATAACTGAAGTCTTATAAATAAGTAAGTACAGTGGTACCTCAGGTTACATACGCTTCAAGTTACATACGCTTCAGGTTACAGACTCCGCTAACCTAGAAATAGTGCTTCAGGTTAAGAACTTTGCTTCAGGATGAGAACAGAAATCGTGCTCCGGCGGCACGGCAGCAGCAGGAGGCCCCATTAGCTAAAGTGGTGCTTCAGGTTAAGAACAGTTTCAGGTTAAGTACGGACCTCTGGAACGAATTAAGTATTAACCCGAGGTACCACTGTATATAAATAATTTTCACAAAAGTTATGCTGACAAATAATTTTATTTCAAGGCTTGAACCGTATCTGCATATAAAGACAAAATGGGAAATATATACAATAGTGCGTTCGCCCAGTGCATCACCTGTGATTGTGAATATGCCGACCGAGGCCCCCTTTGGAATCGGAGGCCTGGGCCAAGTGGCCCATATGGCTCCCCCCCCCCCCCTGTCTGGGCCTGGACCCAGCAGAGCTTTTCTGATGGTCTTATGGGACCTTGGGTCTGGCTGCAACCCTCACCCTCATCAAACCCTCCTTGGGTGTTTTTGCCTGGCAGGACTCTGACCAACCTGCCAATCACCTGGCATCATTATGTCAGGTGACTGATGGGCATGTTGTCCTGCTCACCTGTCAAAAGTCCCTTGTGCAGCTCTTGGGAACCGCAGAAGAGGCTTTGCCAGCCCTGTGCTCAGTAAAGCTCCCAGCATAGGGCTGGCAAAGCTGCTTTCTTCTGGGATCAGCTGCGTGATGGAGCTCCCCACATGAATCTCAGCTGCACAACTGGTCTTGCCACACACCTGGAGTCTCATGCGGTGTCAGGTATGGGGCAAGTGGGTGTAGGTTGGGGAAATGGACCCCCCTGCGCCAAATTGGGATCCATGCAGGGTCAAATCTGGCCTGCGGGCCAGAGGTTCCCAACCCTTGCTATAACCCCTGCAGCCAGTGAATGAATGAATGAGCAAGTGAAAGAGAAAATGTGAATGAAAGGGATATGATCGAAAGAAAACAGAAGAGAAAGAATGGGAGGAAAAGAAAGAGAGAGCAAATGAGAAAGAGAAAAATGGAAGACTCAAAAATGAAAGCGTGAAAGAAGAAATAATGAATGAAAAATAAAAGAATGAAAATAAAAAAGAAACAAAAGACAGGAAAACTGAACTAAGCAAACGTAAGAGAAGAGAGAAAGAATAATAAAAGAGAGAAGTGAAAGAAAAAACTACAAGAGAGAGAATTCAAAAAAGGGCAGGCAGATGGAAAATAAATAAAAGGTAGAAAGAACGAGGAGAAGAATAAATGAGGGAAAAGGTATGATAACGTAATGAAATTGTAAAAAAGAACACATCAATAAAAACAGTAATAAGTTAATTAAATGAATTGAAAGAGAAAGAAAAGACAGGTGTGTGGTGGCCTTGGGGAGGGATACATACATACGTACATGTGTATGTGTGTAATAGGAGATAAAATCGCTTTGGCACACATTTGACCCCCTCGAACCGTTTCCTGCCCCTTTAAGGCGAAGCTCTCTGCCGACCCTGCCGACCGCGCCCCCTTTCTGTCCCTCGGCGGCCGCCTTCGCGCATTCCGGCAACCTGCCCACGTGAGCCAAACAGCGGCCGCGCGACAGACCCGCCGCTTCCGGTGCGCTTTTGCTGCTGCCGCCGCCGCTGCTGCTGCCGCCTGGGAAGAGTGAGCGCGAGCGCCGGTCCCTCGGAGCGCAGGTGAAAGGCGGGGGGGGGGGCGTTCCTTCTCCCGCCCCTGGGAAACGGCAGTAGAGGGAAGGGGGCTCGCTCGTGCAGGCCCCCTCCCCACCTGGCGCTGCCTGCCCTGCGGGGTTCTCCCCCCATTCCCCAAATATGCGGTCCCTTTAAGAAACAGGGAAGGGCCCCGCCTTGGCACCCCCCTTTTCCAGCCTCGCGTTTGGCTCCTCCCCCTTCCAGGCGGGGGGGGGCTTACATTTAACCCTTTAAGATCTATGGAGGGGAGGAAAGCTGGGGCCGTTAAGCGTAAGAAATAGTTGGGTGGGTGTTTATGGGACGAATTTAAACCCCATAGGTCCTTCCCCTGGGGATAAGTAAATAATACATGCATTTTATTTATTTGCAAAGATTTATAAGAGGCGTAAATTGAAACCGCAGATAAAATCCACAGAACTATCTTGAAACAGAAACAGTCACCACCAATAATTAGAAAAAACTGAAATGCTGATGAGGTCAGTAAAATTTTGAAAGCGAATCTAGGTAACTAAATTTGTGTCTTTGGGTAGGTTTGCTATAATAATGATAATAATAATTTTAAATGTATTCAGCAGGCTTCTTAAACAATATTGTGAGGGTGGACACATCATGCTCCTTCTGGGGTAATTTTCCACCTTCCTTCCCCAGACTCAGCTCTCACCTGTGGTTCCCAGAAGCTGTCAGCATGTGACAGCGGCCTCAAACCCTCAGTGAGTCAGGGACTTCACCTGCATGTGAAGACAGGCTCCAGTGGATTGAGTGGACTAATAGTGGGTCTAACGGTCAAGAAGGCCCAGCTAGTCCAAACACTGCTAGAATTATTGATACTTAGAAAAACTGCTATAAGCTGCTGTGAGCCTGTGGGGTAGAACGCCTGACCCTAGTGTTACACAGTTTACTTAATGGTTGAATAGGAATTTGAACTTGGGTCTTCCCAGCCCTAGACTTTCAGTCTAACTGCTATATCCCACTGGCTCCTAAGTTAGAGTCATCTCAGGGTGGAGAGGCTAGTTCCTTCATCCCCCACCCTCGGCAAGTCTACTGTAGCTTTTACAAACAGCTTAAGACAGGATTGGCCCATGTGGTGACCTCCAAATGCTGTTCAACTCCAACTCCCTTTTGTCTGGGGTTGATGGGAGTTGTAGTCCAACAACATCTGGAGGTCACTGCATTGGCTAACCATGTCCTCAGATACGGTCAAACCTCGCTTGTCGAACGTAATCCGTTCCGGAAGACCATTTGACTTCTGAAACATTCAACAGCCAAGGTGCGGCTTCCGATTGGTTTGCAGAAGCTTCTTGCACACAAGCGGAAGCCGCATCAGACGTTCAAGTTCCGAAAACTGGAGCATTTACTTCTGGGTTTTTGGCGTTCGGAACCCGAAACGTTCGAAAACTGAGCCGTTCGAGAACCAAAGTTTGATTGTGTAGAAATGAACCAGCAAAACCTCCCCCGGAGTGGAAATGCAATGATAGACGGACTTTTCCCTTGTTCATTTTTTTTCTACCTTAACAGGCAGCTGTTAAAGGCAAGAGTGTGGGTGGCGTTCAGGCTCTCAAGGCCTTGGCTGCACACACTGATCTGATAGTCCTCTCCAAGGTTGGGAGGTTTGCTCTCTCTTAACTACAGAGAGCGCAAAAGAAAACAGGACACGTTCTGGAAACAGAATGGTGGCGGAGTTGTATTAACACGACAAAATCGTGACCAGTAATAATAATAATAATAATAATAATAATAATAATTATTATTATTATTTATTTATTTATTTATTTATTTATTTATTTATTTATATCCCGCCCATCTGGCTGGGCTTCCCCAGCCACTCTGGACGGCTTCCAACAAAATATTAAAATACCATAATGCATCAAACATTAAAAGCTTCCCTAAAGAGGGCTGCCTTCAGATGTCTTCTAAAAGTCTGGTAGTTGTTGTTCTCTTTGACATCTGGTGGGAGGGCGTTCCACAGGCAGGTGCCACTACCGAGAAGGCCCTCTGCATGGTTCCCTGTAACATGGCTTCTCGCAGTGAGGGAACCGCCAGAAGGCCCTCGGAGCTGGACCTCAGTGTCCAGGTAAAACGATGGGGGTGGAGACGCTCCTTCAGATATACTGGACCGAGGCCGTTTAGGGCTTTAAAGGTCAGCACCAACACTTTGAATTGTGCTCGGAAACGTACTGGGAGCCAGTGTAGGTCTTCGCTCTGTGTGTGGCTTTTAAGCTATTCTTGGCAAGCAGACAAAAAACACCTCCCAAACTGCATACAATAAAGTATCAAAAAGTATGACAAACAAATGAGGATTCCATGTATTATCACAGTGCCAGTGCAGAGTGATAACTTTTGACTTCAAAGATAACTTTTGACTGTAGCTTTATTACAGAAATCTTAGGACAAATGTTTGCTGGGTGGCACAGATTGTTCTGTTGTACAGATTGCTCAGGGCTCTGTCTCCGTGGTCACAGGCAGCATGCTTCTGAATACCTGTTGCTAGAAACCACAGGAGAAACTGCTTGCCAGTTTCCCACAGACATCTGGCTGGCCACTGCGCGGACAGTGGAGGCTGGACGGATCCAGCAGGCTTTTCTTATGTTCTTACGTTAAAAAAAATTCTGACGTGGCTCCCAGAATGTTATTTCCTTTTGTTAACCTCTTCCTTTCTCTGTCGCTGTTAAAGGAACTAACACAAATTTCAGGACTCCTCCTGTTTCTTTTGCAGAGTTTGCTGGCAGTGGTGGTGGCAGCCCAGCAGCATGGAGGCTACAGCTCTGGAGAGCCTCATTGAGATGGGCTTCCCCCAGAACAGAGCGTAGGTGTCTGCCCTTGGGGAAAGGTGGGAGGCATGTGCGGGTTCAAATGGCACGGCCAGCCCTTCTGGTCCCACATCTATTGCCCAGAAGGCCTAGAAAGAAGAAAGCTGGATCTGTGCAAGACACCTTCTCTGCTCCTAATGTATATGTGTGTTAGCTTGCAGGTATATATGTGTATATATATGGGACACGGGTGGCGCTGTGGGTTAAACCACAGAGCTTAGGTCTTGCCGATCAGAAGGTTGGCGGTTCAAATCCCCGCAACGGGGTGAGCTCCCATTGCTCAGTCCCTGCTCCTGCCAACCTAGCAGTTCAAAAGCACGTCAAAATGCAAGCAGATAAATAGGTACTGCTCCGGCGGGAAGGTAAACGGTGTTTCCGTGTGCTGCTCTGGTTCACCAGAGTCATGCTGGCCAAATGACTCGGAAGCTGTACGCCGGCTCCCTTGGCCAGTAAAGCGAGATGAGCGCCGCAACCCCAGAGTCGGCCACGACTGGACCTAATGGTCAGGTGTCCCTTTACCTTTATATATGTATATGTATATGCTCCCAGTGTATATGTGGGTTCAGACAAGGAGTACTAGACCATGGCCATTGGCCTTAATTGAAAATCAGCCTTTACGAAAAGCTGTAGCTCAGTGGTAGAGCATTGGCGCTGCCAGTCAGTGTGGGCAGGATGATCTTCAGTAGAAGACAGCTTTCTGTGTTAGTATTTGGGAAGGGCTACAGCGTCTACCTGGCCTGCAGAAGGTCCCTGGTTCAATCCCCACCATCTCCAGGTTGGGCTGGGGGACATTCCGTGCCTGAAATCATAGTATAGAGCAGCTGCCAGTCAGTGCAGACAGTACTGCACTAGGTGGACCAATGATCTGACTCTGTCTATGGCAGCTTCCTTTGTGGACTTTACTTAATTGTTGCAGCGAACCCTGTTGTCGTCCCACAACCCGCATCCCACCCTAGATGAAGGGGAAGTTGGGCTGGGGTGATGAGTGCCCTGTGCTTCCAGCACTTCTCAGAGAGGCACAAAAAAATGTAGAACAGCCCTGTGTTCATATGTAGTTCACTACCTCGTCCCTCTCCTTTTTACCCAGAGAGAAGGCCCTAGCGCTAACAGGGAACCAGGGCATTGAATCAGCGATGGATTGGTGAGTATTGGCTCCCTTCTTCCCTCCTGCGGACCCTTTGCAGCCCTCTTTTTATCAGTCTTCGCCTGAATGGTGCCTCTCTCTTCACTCCCAGGCTCATGGAGCACGAAAATGATCCCGACCTGGACGAGCCTTACGTGCCCCCCCAAGGCCACGTTCTGAGCACAGAGGAGCCCCCCGAGGGAAGGACGCCAGAGTCAGTGCAAAGTGGATCAGGTCAGAGCAAATCTGGAGAACTTGAGGTGGGAGAGAACCTCATCAGGGGGCCCTGTGCCTGGCCTAGTTCTTACTATCACCTGGGAGAGGAGGGGAGGTTGGAAATTGTTCCATCCAGCCAGAATTGAGCTCCTTCGAACTTCCATCTCTTTCCACTGAGGGCAACTTATCCAGAGGTTCTAGAACAGGAATAGCCGACATCTCGCCCTCCAGATGTTGGACAGCAACTCCCATCATCCCATCCCAGGCTGGGGCTGATGGGACTTAATAGTTCAGTAACAGCATGCTGGCCCATCCCTGTTCTGGAATCTTGCCGGCAGAGAGCCTTGCTTGGTCAGTTAGATTTGTCCAAGAAAGCTCTATGCTAAAAGCCGCAAACCAAAATCTGAATATTTCCGTTGCTGCTTCTTTGTCAGCCTTCTTCCTTAACATTCTTGGCTCTGGTTTTTCTCCCTCTCTCATCATTCTAGAGCAGGAATCCCCAAACTCGGCCCTCCATTTGTTTTGGGACTACAATTCCCATCATCCCTGACCACTGGTCCTGTTAGCTAGGGATGATGGGAGTTGTAGTCCCAAAACATCTGGAGGGCCAAGTTTGGGGGTGCCTGTTCTAGAACTCTGGAAGTACAGTGTGGGAACGGACGAAATAAAGTCCTTCTTCCCAAACAGTGTATGGTTAAATCTGTGGAGTCCACTCACATTAGAATCATAGAGTTGGAAGGGACTCTCTTCTCCAGGGTCAGCCACTGAGATGGCTTTAAAAGGGGGTTAAACAGATTCATGCACGATAAGGCTATAAGTGCTTCATTCTCCAATGCCAGAAGCAACAGCTGCAGGGAATCACAGCTGGAGAAAATTACTGTTGCACTCAGATCCTTTGACCTTTATGTTGTGAACTGCCCTGAGATCTATGGGTATAGGGTATACTACTACTACTACTACTACTACTACTAGGGACGTGGGGTGGCACTGTGGGTTAAACCACAGAGCCTAGGACTTGCCAGTCAGAAGGTCGGCGGTTCGAATCCCCGCGACGGAGTGAGCTCCTGTTGCTCGGTCCCTGCTCCTGCCCACCTAGCAGTTCGAAAGCACATCAAAGTGCAAGTAGATAAATAGGTACCGCTCTGGCGGGAAGGTAAACGGCGTTTCCGTGTGCTGGTCTGGTTCGCCAGAAGCGGCTTAGTCATGCTGGCCACATGACCCGGAAGCTGTACGCCAGCTCCCTCGGCCAATAAAGTGAGATGAGCGCCGCAACCCCAGAGTCAGCCACGACTGGACCTAATGGTCAGGGGTCCCTTTACCTTTACCTTTACTACTACTACTACTACTACTAATAATAATAATACTGTGAACAGGCTCTTGTTATGTTCTTATGTTAATTTTCCTTTTCCTTTTTTCTTTTTCTGCTCATCCTCAAATATAGGAATTTCCTTGCTTGTCTCCTTGGGTTCTTCCAAGCCCAGAGGGTAGCAACATAACAGGTTTATCTCCCCATAGATCCCACGTTAGAGGAGCTGACGGAGGAAGATAACCGACGCCCCCTGAGCGAAGAAGAGAAGCGGGAGCAGACAAAGAGGTAATCATAGTTCTGGCGGCTTTAAATTCTGCAACCTGAAAACCCGGATTCCGCGACTAGAATATGATTAGGCTAATCTTGCAAGCCTGCATGTTTCCCCCCCACTTTATGTGGAACTTGGGTCCCTATGTGCTATTGGACTTCCAGCATCCCCAGCCAGAATCACCGGTTGTCAGGGATGATGGGACCTGGGGAGTCCCAACGAAATCTTGATGGTTAGGGTAAGGCCTCTTTGCATAATTATGCCACGAGGTGAGCAGGGCACAGAGCTGCACCTCCCAACTCCACCCTCTCTTGTTTACGGCTACGAGATCTCTCGGGGATTTCCCCCATGTGCTTTCAGGATGATGGAGCTGATCACTCAGAAGCAGCGAGAGCGGGAGGAGCGAGAGAAGCGGGAGAGCATTGAGCGGGAGAAGCAGCGCCGGAAGCAAGGCCAGGAGCTCTCCCTCATCCGCCAGAAGCTGCAGGAGGACGAGATGAAGAAGCTGGCCGAGGAGCGGCGCAAGGAGAAGCTGGAGGAGAAGTTGGCCAAGTGAGAGGCTGTGGGGGGTGGCAGTGGGGACCCGGAGGGGGTCTGGAAGCGGGGAGGGGGCTGCCCCTATGGAGTGGAGAACAGCAGCAGACCTCTCATGGTCTGCGGGTGCTTTTAACGCCTTCCCGAATCAAAGCAAAGGAGCTGCGAATATAGGAAGTTGCTTCTCTGTCGAGTCAGGCCATTGGTCCATCTAGCTCAGTGCTTCCCAAACTCCAGCTGATTTTGGACTACAGTTCCCATCATCCTTAGCTAGCAGGGCCAGTGGTCAGGGATGATGGGAGCTGCAGTCCAAAAACAGCTGGAGGCCCAAGTTTGGGAAACACTTAATCTAGCTCACTATTGTTGGCAGTGGCTGGCAGCAGCTCTCCAGAGTTTCGGGCATGGGATCCCTCTGTCTGTCTGTCTGTCTGTCTGTCTGTCTGTCTATCTTCCCCCCAGCCCTACCTGGAAATGCCAGAGATATTTTAACCTCCCTGTGACATGATAATGGATTCATTTCACCTGCTCCCTCCCTCCCTCTTTCAACGGCTCGTAACCAGCCAACATAACACGCCTTGCATTTTAATACAGTGGTACCGCAGGTTACAGACGCTTCAGGTTACAGACTCCGCTAACCCAGAAATAGTACCTTGGGTTAAGAACTTTGCTTCAGGAAGAGAACAGAAATCGGGCAGTAGCGGCACAGCAGCAGCAGGAGGCCCCATTAGCTAAAGTGGTACATTAGGTGAAGAACAGTTTCAGGTTAAGAACGGACCTCCGGAACGAATTAAGTACTTAACCCGAGGTACCACTGTATTGATTTTAACGTGTTGCTGTGAGCTGCGTTGAGCCTTCTTTTTAATGGGAAGGCAGGATAACAAAATATGTCTACAGCGCAGTCCTACACTTGCCTAACTCAAAGCAAGTCCCCTTGATTTCACTGAAGCTTACTCACGAGTAATTGGGAAGACGGCTGCAGTTGTAATGAAGAACCGCACAGGGCAGGCTTCCCCAACCTGGTGCTCTCCAGGTGTTGCTTCCCACTTCCTTTTCTTTTTTTAAAGATATTTATTAAAGGTTTAATAATTACAGAAAAAAGAAGAAAGAAACAATAAAAAGTTCACAATACATCAAAAAGAAAAAGAAAAAGAAAAAACAATACAGCAAAACAACAAGAAAAGCAAAAACATTTAAAAACACATCCAATATCTCTATATCTCTACCTTTCATTTACTTGTATCGTCGACCTCCTCACACCTCCCTTTTTTGTATTCTTGTTCAATTAGCTATTTCAGCAAATCCTTTCCATCTTTCTTAATTTTTGCTCTATAATTTATCTTAACACAATCTAACCTTAAATTTCCACTTTGACCCATTAACAATCTATTTTACTTAATTCTTTATAACATTTCTGCTAAAGCCATATAACTTTATTCCAGCATCCCTTCTAACATTCATTAATTTTACAATACAGTGGTGCCCCGCAAGACGAATGCCTCGTAAGACGAAAAACCCGCTAGACGAAAGGGTTTTCCGTTTCGGAGGCGCTTCGCAAGACGAATTTCCCTATGGGCTTGCTTCGCAAGACGAAAACGTCTTGCGAGTCTCGCCATTTCCCCCCCCCCTGCTTTCCCCCCCTTTTTCAAAGCCGCTAAGCCGTTAATAGCCTTTTAACAGCTTAGCTGCTAAGCCTTTAATAGCCGCTAAGGCGCTAAATCGCTAATAGCGCTAATCCGCTTAGCTGCTAATGGGGTTGCTTCGCAAGACCAAAAAACCGCTAAACGAAGAGAATCACGGAACGGATTCTTTTCGTCTTGCGAGGCACCACTGTATTTCTGTAAATATACTTTAATTTTTTTCCAATCTTCTTCCACCGACTCTTCTCCCTGGTCTCGGATTCCTTTCCTTCCACTTCCTTCCACTTCCTTTCTATCCCACCTTTCCTCCAAGGAGCTCATGGTGACGCGCATGTTTCTCACCCTCTCTGCTTTAGGTTTGGTTGAGAGATACAGAGAAAGAGAGTGTTTTGCCCAAAGTCACCCGCAGAGCTTCTTTGCTCGGTGGGGATTCGAACCCCGGCTTTCACTGTAACCACTATACCACGCTGCCTTTTCACAGAATCATAGAGTTGGAAGGGACCCCAAGGGCCATCTAGTCCATTCACCTCCAATGCAAGATTCTTTTGCCCAAGGTGGGGCTGGAACCCACAACCCTGAGATTAAGAGTCTCCCGCTCTGCCGTTTGAGCTTTTTGTTGGATTCCAGTTGCCATCATTGCCATGATGGGAATTGGAGTCTCAAGATATCTGGAGGGCATAAGGTTGGGGAAGGGTGGTTTAGAGCGGGGCTTCCCAAACTTGAGTCTCCAGCTGTTTTTGGATTACTGTTCCCATCATCCTTGACCACTTGTCCTGCTAGCCAGGGATGATGGGAGTTGGAGTCTAAAAACAGCTGGAGACCCAAGTTTGGGAAAGTTTGGGTTTAGAGCAAGTGGTCTGTCTGTCTGTCACAGACATAGACACACACACACACACACACACACACACACACAGTGTGTGTGTCTGGGGCTGAGTGTCCAGATTTATCCGAACTCTAGAAAGGAAAGGACAGGATTCTAGGTATACGTACATAAGAGTGGAATTTAGCACTTTTCCACCACCCAGGCTCTGCCTTTCTTGGTGGCAAATGAGCAAACAGCTGTGGTTTCACTGATTCTGCACTTTCTAGTCGAAGTTTTGCTGGAAGATGTTTTGGGGAAGGGGAGTTGCAACGTGGAGTCGGGTTGTGGAGGGGAACTTGTGGGATGGTGGTGGAGGTTCTTGCCATAGGGCAGCTGTGGGGAAACTGTGCCCCCCACGGACGTTGCTGGACTTTACTTCCCATTGTCCCTGGCCATTGGCCACACTTTCTGGGGCTGGTGGGAGTTGTGGCTCAGCTGCCTGTGGAGGGCCAGAGGTTTCCCACACCTGCAGGTGGCAAATGCTGTTAGTGGAACAGGATGTGGAGCAAAGAAATTCCTACCTCCCTAGTATACTTGAAAGTCCTTCCCAGGTCGCACCTGACCTTTCCAGCCTTTCTCAGGTTCGTAGCCTTGAAAGTTTTCCAGCTTCTTTCATGAGAGCCGGGGCAAGGGGCATGAAGCTATCAATAGGAATATAGCATCTAGATCAAGGGAAGTAATAGTGCCACTGTATTCTGCTCTGGTCAGACCTCACCTGGAGTACTGTGTCCAGTTCTGGGCACCACAGTTCCAGAAGGACACTGACAAACTGGAACGTGTCCAGAGGAGGGCAACCAAAATGGTCAAAGGCCTGGAAACGATGCCTTATGAGGAACGGCTAAGGGAGCTGGGCATGTTTAGCCTGGAGAAGAGGAGGTTAAGGGGTGATATGATAGCCATCTTCAAATATATAAAAGGATGTCATATACAGGAGGGAGAAAGGTTGTTTTCTGCTGCTCCAGAGAAGCGGACACGGAGCAATGGATCCAAACTACAAGAAAGAAGATTCCACCTAATCATTAGGAAGAACTTCCTGACAGTAAGAGCTGTTCGACAGTGGAATTTGCTGCCAAGGAGTGTGGTGGAGTCTCCTTCTTTGGAGGTCTTTAAGCAGAGGCTTGACAACCATATGTCAGGAGTGCTCTGATGGTGTTTCCTGCTTGGCAGGGGGTTGGACTCGATGGCCCTTGTGGTCTCTTCCAACTCTATGATTCTATGATTCTAAGCTCAGTGGTTAGAGCTCTGCTTTGCATGCATAAGGTCCCAGGTTCAAGCCTGGGCTTCTCCAGTTAAGGGTTGCGAAAGATGAATACTGAGCCAGGTCTTGACTCTGTACAAAGCAGTTTCCTTTTTGCCGCTGGGATAACCCCATTCTTGACACCAAGACTGCTCTCAAATGGCGCTCTCTTGTGATTGAGTTGCAGCCTCCTTTGCTTTGCTCTCCTCCCCCCCCCAACATAAAAACTCTTCTCCTTTCCAGGCAGCGGGTGCGAGAGAAGATAGAGCGCGACAAGGCCGAGAGAGCCAAGAAGGTAAGCAAGCGGCAGAGGCTGGGAAAGGGGTGTGCTCTGAGAGTCGTATTTTTGCTTGTGGCTTCCTCCCACGAGAGATGTGGGCCCCACAGGTGGAAATAAAAAGAATTAAAAATCGAAAGGAATAATCAAGGTAACGGATGTGTCTCCAGTCTGTCTCCAGTCTTCAAATAAAAACATCTTGGAGGTCCTGAGCCACAGGGAGGTTAGGCTGGCCTCAGCCAGAGCCAGGGTTTTTCCGGCTGTGGCCCCGATCTGGTGGAACGCTCTGTCACAAGAGACCAGGGCCCTGCGGGACTTGACATCTTTCCGCAGGGCCCGCAAGACAGAGCTGTTCCACCAGGCCTTTGGCCAGGGCACAGCCTGACCCCCTCCTTCGGTAATCCTCACAGCACTCTAGCCCAATGGTTGCCGTTAATTTGATTTTGAATTGATTTTAGAATGAATTGGTTTTAGAATGCATTTCAATCGATTGTGATTTTATGTAAATTGTGTTACTTTTATTGTTGTTAGCCGCTCAGAGCCCGGCTTTGCCTGGGGAGGGCGGGATATAAATTAATAATAATAATAATAATAATAATAATAATAATAATAATGTATGTTCTCAGGGCAGGCTTGCACCCTAGGGGCAGAAAGCCCTGTTCACAAATAATAATAATAATAATTATTATTATTATTATTATTATTATTATTATTATTATTATACATCAGGGTGATGCTGGGCGGCTGTCTTTTGTCCACTGACCCACCTCTCCTTTTCAATTCAGTTTGGTGGCGGCTGCAGCAGCTCTTCCCAAGGCTCCACCCTGCCTGAGCAATCGGCCCCCATCCCGGTTCCCTCGTCACCCAGCCAGGAACCCCCTGTCAAGCGAGAGTATGATCAATGCAGGATACAGGTAACTGACTGCGGGGCAGGCTTTGTGTTTGTGTGCAGAGAGCTGCTTGTTCTCATCTGTTTCTTGCACACACCATAAGCCACTCTGCTTGCAATATACAGCCATGTGGTGGCCGGCCTTCACCTTTTGCATTCCTGCCGTAAAAGACTCCCTGAAATCTTCCCTGCCTAATGCAAGCAGAAGTAGACCATGCCAGGTTATCAGCGGTCCAGCCATGCAAACTGGAGGAGACTGCAGTTCCAAACTGGTCCCTGCTGTGAGCCTCCTTTCACTTGTCCCCTTTTAATTTTATTGATCTTAAAATAAATACAGAAGTAGAACCATGTCGAAATGCAATTAACAGAAAATGCAAACAGCAGTTCAAGCTCTTTGCCCAGGATGCACAACAAAAAAGGGACAGCCTGGTTAGATAATACTAAATCTATACATCCCGTTCTTTGATCCTTATTGGCACATCTCACAAAACCTGTCAGAGAGTAAAGAAGGGATATTCCCTGGGAAATACGAACCTACTTTTTCCAAAATAATGTAATACTTCTTAGTGTTTCTGTAGTGCTTTCAAGTGCTTCTGTGTATTATCTGGCTGTAATCCTTACACAACAACCCTGCAAGATATTATTATTCACCACATTGCATATGGGCTAGTGGTGGGGGACTGAGATTGAGGTCTCGCCTTGTAAGGCCACCTAGTAATTTCATGGCAGATGGAAGGCTCCAGATGTTGACTTCCTGACTGCAGCTCAGTATACTTTGCATGCAGAAATCACCAGGTCCAGTTCCTGGCATCTCCCAGTAGGGCTGGGGAGCCACTCCCTTCCGAAACCCTGCAAAGCTGCTGCCGGTCAGTGTAGACAGTACTGAGCTGGATGGACCAATGGTCTGACTAAGGAAAGGCAGCTTCTGTGGCTCCCTGATGATTTTCTGGAGTTCGTGGTGCTGTCACTTGAGGTAGCTTTAGGCACGTCCCCACTTCTGATCTCCATCCCCACATTTGCAACAAAATAGGGATGATGATGATGATCATCATCATCATCTACCCTGTGGTTAAGGATTATCAAGAGTGTGTGCAGGAAGCATATGAACCACATAAAGCACTAACAATCCTTAAACCTTAACATTCTTAATTATTAAAGAAATAAGCAATTACCATTGCATGGTTGAAACCTTTGGCAGATAAGAAATCTTCGAGTTCTGAATGAGGGTCTTTAATAAAAACAACAACACAACAACTTAAAATTACATGTGCATTGTCATCCCAATGGCTGCAGTTAAGATTAACCACAGTTTAGGGTTCAGATGTAACACTAAACTGCAGCTAGCCAAAAACATACGTTTTCCCATCTTCTACTTGTGGCCGTGCTGGAAGGAGAGGGAGGACAGCCCAGAAGCCCCAAGGCTTATTCATGTTCATGGATGCGACAATCATGCACCATTTCAGATCCTCTCCCCCTCTCTTTTCCTCAGGTGAGACTGCTGGACGGCACGTCGCTCACCCAGACGTTTCGAGCCAAAGAGCAGCTGGCCGCCGTCCGGCTCTACGTGGAGCTGAACCGCAAGGACAATGGTGACGAGCCTTTCCACCTCCTCACCAGCTTCCCGCGGCGTGTCTTCACTGAGGAGGACATGGAGAAGCCCCTGCAGGAGCTGGGTGAGTCTGAGATTGCTGGGGCAGGAAGAGGGAAGGGGGTGAGGGTTGCTTGGAGTGTTTCCCTCCTGCTACTCCGTGGAGGATGGAGGAATTCTTGGGCAGGCGCTGGGAACCTCTGGGTCACGAGCCCAGTTTGTCCCAGCACAGCTCCCAGTTTGGCCTACGATGCCCACCAAGCTACGTCCCGCTCCTAATACAGTGGTATTGTTCCAGAGGACTGTTCATAACCTGAAGCGCCACTTTAGCTAATGGGGCCTCCCGCTGCCGCCGGAGCACGATTTCTGTTCTCATTCTGAAGCAAAGTTCTTAACCCGAGGTACTGTTTCTGGGTTGGTGGAGTCTGTAGCCTGAAGCGTATGTAACCTGAAGCGTATGTAACCCGAGGTACCACTGTACCTTATGTGACGTCAGGTAGAGATGCAGCCGGTCTGGCTGTGTGTGGGGAGCTCAGTTGCGCAGCCGGTCCCTGCAGAAAGCAGGCTTGAAATCATTGCCTGTCAGCTCACGTTTTGACTTCAAGCTTGTGGATTAGTTGTGCGCTGTATAAAGCGCTTGCAAGCCCCAAAGTCCTGACAATCATCACCCCAAGTCAGGTGAGTGACAGGTGAGCAGGGGAGATGAGGACCCGCCCCCCGGCAACACCAGGTTCCCGATCCATCCTAGGCCAGAGCACTGTCTGTCGGAAGCTGACCCATTTTATGCTACATCTAAGAACAGAGAGAGCCTGTACCAGAGGAACTGGTGGCCTAATTTTTTTAGTTGCTGTTTTGTTAATATTGTTTTATAGATTCTAAGTGCCATGTTGATTTGTTGACCATATGATATGACTTTTGCTGTAAATGTGATGGTTAGCTTTTTTTTTTTAGTTCGTTTTAATAGCGTTTTATAGGTTGCAACTGCTTTATTGAGGATTTGTTAATTATTTCATACGATTCACGCTGCATTACGTTATTATGTATTGTTGGTAAGCCGTTTTGAGATCCATTTGAATGAAAAGCAGCCTAGAAATACATCAAATCAACCCAGAAGCTGCTGAACTCCAGCTCCCATCAGCCTCTGCCAGCATGGCCCAATGCTCAGGATGGGAGTTGCAGTCCACCAATATCTGGAGGGCCAGTTTTTCCCCAGATGCAATTGGAACACACACATTTCATCATCCCCGACTGTTGCCTGGCCCAGTTCTAGGGAGCCAGTTCCCAACTTCACCAGAACAGTACAGTGGTACCTCATGTTACATACGCTTCAGGTTACAGACTCCGCTAACCCAGAAATAGTACCTTGGGTTAAGAACTTTGCTTCAGGATGAGAACAGAAATTGTGCTCCAGCGGCGCAGTGGCAGCAGGAGGCCCCATTAGCTAAAGTGGTGCTTCAGGTTAAGAACAGTTTCAGGTTAAGAACAGACCTCCAGAACAAATTAAGTACTTAACCCGAGGTACCACTGTACATAAATATTGACTGTTTTGCTTTGACCCAAAGTTCTAACACCACATCTGCCCTGCTAACTGCTGAATGTGAGTTTTCCCCATTACCTCCCACTCTCTGCCTCTCTCTGTCTCCTCTGTAGGTTTGGTGCCTTCTGCTGTGTTGATCGTAGCGAAGAAAGGCAACAGCTGAAGTGGCTCTCCTCCTCGCTCTCTCAGCCCCCTCCTTCCCTTGCTGCCGGAGGTGACTCTCACCTGACCCATGTGCTCTGTCTCTGGGGGGAGCGCACATGCCAGCCCCTCCTGGTTTTCCTAACCAACTCTGCCCACAGAGACTCCAAAGCACCACCATGTCTTGGGGCTGGGATTCCGAATCAATGGTGACGATCGGGGTGGGGTTGGATGCGATGGAGAAAAGTGTTGGGCTTCCCCTCCTGTCGGGGAGGGAGGGGCAAGGTTGCAACTTGACTTCCTCTCTTCATGCCACACACACACCATGAATAAAACCTATTCTCTCTTTCCTTGCTTCTTGCGAGAATTCTTTTATCCCATTTGTTAAGTGGTAGGGCTCTTGGAGTCATCTAGTTGGCATTGGGAGGGCAGTGCCTGGGGCTCTCATCCAGGAAAAGGCTGCTATCCTGCTGCCTTGTCTCTCTACTCCGGGGTAAAGGTAAAGGGACCCCTGACTGTTAGGTCTAGTCGTGACCGACTCTGGGGTTGCGGCACTCATCTCGCTTTATTGGCCAAGGGAGCCGGCGTACAGCTTCTGGGTCATGTGGCCAGCATGACTAAGCCGCTTCTGACGAACCAGAGCAGCGCACGGAAACGCCATTTACCTTCCTGCCAGAGTGGTACCTATTTATCTACTTGCACTTTGTGCTTTCAAACTGCTAAGTTGGCAGAAGCAATGGGAGCACACCCCGTCGAGGGGATTTGAACCACCGACCTTCTGATCGGCAAGTCCTAGGCTCTGGTTTAACCCACAGCGCCACCCACATCCCTTCTACTCCGGGGACTTTGATGTATTTAATAGGGTTTTTTTAAAAAAAAACAAAACCTGAACTTTCTAAAAAGAAAGAAAAATGCAGACAATGCAAACCAAATCTGTGGGTACAAGCAAAGGGAGGAAAGCTGGTGGTCCAGACCAACCCAGCGCTCAACCCAGAATAGATCTGTACAAAGAATCCAGATATCAGAGAATTTCCTGGTCACCTTCACATATGCTGCCAGTTGAGTCATGGCTTCTGTCCTCTGTAGGGGTGGTGAGGATGTCACCTTCCTGTATTAGAGTGTTAGACATTTAGCCACCCTGAGTGCCCTTAGAAGGCATTTACATAGTCGCTCTATCAGTTTCCAGAAGACTGGTACATAATTCAAGAGAACATCCATAAATCTCAAGGTGCTGAAAACCGTATTTATGCCGCTGATGACCTCTGGCCAAAAGGGTGTGACTTCATGTATTCATGAATGAAGTTTCTACCACTCTCTCTCCTCCCAAGCAATTAAAAATGTAGTAAAGAACATACTTTGAAACACCCCTTCATCATTGTCAGCTTTTAGGCACCAGGTTAAGACAATTGTATATATCAGGCCTTTGATAGTTATATTAGCCTCTACAATGGTATTCACATTTTTGTAGGCTCAGATGATCATTTTAGGAATTTTGTGTTGTACATCATTTTAATTATTTCTGGTTTTTATATTTTTTGTGTTTTTTATATTTTTAAGTTGCTTTGAGACTTCCTGTCTAAAGCAATTAACAAATGTAATGAATAGCAACAATTTTAAAACATTAACATCTGAAAGCTTTTTAAAAAACCAGCCACCTGCCCTCGCATAAAGTTCCTAGAAACTACATACCAGATATCAAAAGACCTGGGTGAAGAGGACTGTTTTTAAATGCCACCTGATTGCTCATAATGAGGAAGACAGATGCATCTCAATTGGGGGGGGGGGATTACACAAATGAGGAGCCACCACTGAGGCGGCCATGCTGCTTATGGGGGTCACTGCCAATTGGACAAACCTTCCATCAGGGTCCTGGATGGTTGGTATTTGAGCTGCTATTTTAGATGTCATGTTGTGCAATTGTAGGAATTGGTGTGTCTTGCAACTGCAGCAGCCTCTTTTAACAGCACTCAACAATTAGTTTTGCATCCTTTTAAATCCCCTATTGAAGCCGTTGGCCCTCCTTGACCTCTTTCACAAATTGTGTTGTGGGAGGGAGCAAGGAACCTCTTCCTTCCACTTCTCTTTGCATGCTGCTGCAATTAAGATTAAAAACAGGGAGGGGGACCCCTAAGTGAAACCATAGCCCCTGATGCGGAAACAGAGCTTGATTTAATTAAAACAAATCCAGTTAAATATTTACATAGAATACATGGTGCTTAGGGTTGGGTTTTTTTAATACATGAGGAAGCAGATTTTCTCCCCTCCCAGCTATGACATACATTACAGCTTCTACTGACAATCTCCGTCATAAGGAAAGCATGATATGCTAAAGTCTCTGCAGAGGGTGCACAGTGTCTTCTTGGCATATAAACCAGCTTGCCACAGACATCACAAACAAATCCAGGGTATTTCCCTCCATTAGTCTTTTATTGGCTACGGTTTGAACTCCTGCCAGATCCGGAAAAAGATGATGGGCATCCAGTAATGGGGTATTGCTATTCACTCATCTTTCTTGTAGCTTCCAACTGGGTTTATCCACACAGTAACACCCCAACAGAAGAGACCTGGAAGGGAGAAAAAGAAAAGCGTGTGAGGGGTGTGGCCTGAGGAAGAGTTCCAAGGGCCAGATAGAGGGGCCCGTTTGGCCCCCTGGTCCTGAGGTTTCCCACCCTTGATCTTAAGTCAGCCAAGGATGTATGCCACAAACAGCAGGAAGAAACAAAGGGTGCCAGTGGCAGAGCTGACTTCAAAATAGACATCGCCAATACCCCGCAAGACGAGGGAAGAGAAATGATTACTAGTCTATCTGATTTAAGGGCAGATTTCCTGCCCCACATATGTTGAATGATAACTAGGAGAGATATTAACACTCCCACTGAACCAACTTTCCCAAGTACAGTTTGTGGGGGAGGGGGTCACCCTAGAAAATAGGGTGCACCTCTGAGCATAGATCAACCTCTGAACAAGATATGGGCCTCAGTAATCAGAGGAGTGGAAGATAAAAGTAATGACAATGGTTATTCACCATGACAACAGAGCCTCCATGGTCAACAGTGGTCTACCCACTGAGGGCCAGGTGCTGGAAGCAAACAGGGTGGGAGGGGGACGACTGCCCTGACACCCTGCTGAAGAGCTAATAAAACACCTGGCCGTAAAGAAGTTGCTGGCCTAGACAGGGATCTGATTACTGAGGCCCATGCTCACAGAAGGTCCCAGGGGCTGAATCCCCCAAGGGCATCCCCAGAAAGGGCTTCCTATGCTCCCGTTTGAAAATAGTGCCTTCAGTTCACAACCATGAGGACTAGAAACTTAACTTTTCCAAGAAGCAGAAGCAGTTGGTGCCCCCTGGGACTGGCAAGGTAAGGTCTGAAATCCACACCAACTGGCTCAGAAAGGCAGACCTAGGTACCTATATGCTCAGAGGCAACATCACCCAAATGTCAGTCTCCCAGTCGGTCCTGGCGCTGAGCCCAGGGCCAGATTTATGTATATGCTAAACAAGCTATAGCTTAGGTCCCCAGTCACTTGGAGGCCCCCAAAAAAATTAAAAGAAAAAAACTGGATGTACATTTCTAAAATATAAGGTAAAAAACAAATAAAATAAAACCTACATACAGCAAGAGTGTTTTGTGTTGTGTAGGCTCCTATGATGTAAGTAATGGGCCTCGCCTGCTGGCCTGCTCCCTAAATTATCACTGGTTTGCTCATTTCTATATATAGGGTGCCTACATTCTGCATGGACTGGTTGCAGGGCAACATGTAGCATGCAGCTGCAGACTGCAGTGCAGCACAGTTGAATGTAGTAAGTCAAGCTGTTGTACCTGCTATCTAATATTAAAGAGTGCTTGATCAGGCAGCACAGACTAAGGGTATGAGCATATATTCAACACACAAAAACAGCGACAATTTGTTGTTGACAAAGGACAGCTGGACACATAAAGGGTCCCATTACCTTCAGTAGCTTAGGGCCTCATCAAGCCTAAATCCGGCCCTCCTGAGCCGCAGCTCAGCCTGGAGCCGCCGCCCCCCCCCCGCCCCCGGAATTGGGCTCCCGCCCCTCTCTGCGCCCCCCACTTACAGACGGCGAAGGTCATCTGGGCGATGTTGCCCATGCTGGGGGGGATCCTGTGGCTCATAATCCGGAGGGGCCCCGAATAGACGAACAAGGAGGAGGCGATCAGCGCCCCCCCGCTCAGGGCGCGGCAGCTGAAGCAGGACCAGAAAAAGGACCGTTTCTGCTCCGGTGAGGAAGCGGCGCGCTCGACGCTGGAAGACATGCCTCGGCTTTCCTGCAGGGGCGGGAAGATGGCGGCGCCCAGGACACCGCGCCGGAAGCGGCTTGCGCCCAGAAGCCGCTCTGCTTCCTGTCCCTCGTCTCGGTGGAAGCAGAAAGGGCGGCGTGCATTGCAATGGGTGTCCGGCATGCCAACAACTCCCCCATCGATTGGTTCCCCCATCGATTTGGATTGTCATGCTGGCTCCCGTCAGCGTTTGCAGGTGAAGACAAATGTCAAGAGGAGAGGAAGGGGGAATTTCCTCCCTCCAGGAGATATTAGCTAGGGAACATCAAGCAGATTACGTCCAGCTTTTTGTCCACTTCTCCATCTGTATAAAAGCCAGCTTTCCAATATTCTTCAGTGGAAGAATAGAACTGAGGATAAGGCTTTTGCAGGGAAAAGGGGCTTATGCAGGCTGTGGCGATGGGAGATTTGATTCTGATGGGTGGGCTTCACAGAGAGCGGGTTTAGACCATGCTTAGGCAAACCTACTAGGGCAAATCATTGAGTGGGAAAACTCCAAGGGTCATCTAGTCCAACCCTCTTGTGTAGCAGGAACCCCCCCACCCCAATCATTCTGTTTGTACAAAGTTCACACACACACACACACTCACACACTACATACGCCACATTTCTGTTATAAATTCATAGAAAATCAACCATACATCGGATTTGCACTGTTCCATTTTTATTTTACTCCATATGACAAGAACTAACAAAGGGGGGTGGCTTGGCCCTGGTCAGCCAAAATCCCTTCACTGTCTCAGCACATCTGCAGGAGCCCTGCCCAGATGATCCCAGACAGAAGACAATCAAGATCACAAAGAACTTGCATATGGGAGTGGATTCAGCATGGACTGAAACAAAGGACAATGATCAGATCTTCCCTCAGGGGGCAGGAAACTGCAAACTCCCCTTTGTCTCCTGGAAGTGACTCATGGGAGGGGGAAAGGAGGAACCAGCCAGGTGACAAGACACTCAGGTTACCACCAACTCCTCCCTCAACCCCTCCTTTCTGTAATATATGCATGATGTTTCTGGGGGGTGGGCTTGACCTAGAGGAGGGGAATTTCAAAAGTTTTTATAAGACCTTGCACACTATTTTTCTGGGTCTTTCCTCTCACCTGCAAGTGAGGGGAGCACCCTGTCGCGACAGTCTTTCTTCAATAAAGACCAAGCCTACAGGCTGCTGATTTGCTTCAATTTACTCTGGTTGGTGTCTTTACTTTTTGTCCAAGGGAGCCCTCAGATTTTTCCGGTAACACTTGCAATGCAGGAATCTCAGCAAGAGGTTCCCCCATCCAATGGAAATCCATACGGGGGACTGCCCTGTCAATGCCTCATTCCACAGCTAGCTGTCATTTTCCTGCCTTCTGATACACAACCAGTCCAGGAGGCAGCCCTGCCTGTCAGATTCCTACTCCTTTGTCTCTGTGTTGCTTCCTGTAAAACTCAACCAGGAAGAAGATGGGGACAGTACTAGAATTAGATGGTTCCAGCTCCTGATGGGCTCCCTGCCTTCTGCCCCAGCAGTTCCAAGGGGCACCAGCCACCACAGACTGCACCCAAATGGTCTTCATAAGGTGTCTCTTTTTTCCCCCTACCCATGCCAATGAATAGCTGACATTCAGTCTAGTGGGAAAACATTTAAGTCAGGGATGAGGAACCTGTTTCTCCAGGTGATGACAAACTCAAACTTCCATCAGCCCTGATCAGCATACTGAAAGAACCATGGATTATGGGAGTACAACAACTTTCAGCAGCACACAGGTTCCCTAAGTACTGTTCATGGCAATGTCACTGCTGTGAGGGCCCAACGTACCATTCCATGCCTGGCAGTGGGTGGCCTGAACCTCAAGTGATAAGAGGTCATGGAAAACAGGGGTAAGGAAGCTTTTTTCTGTACAAGAGGACCATGTTCCGTTCTGGGCCACCTTCTGAGGACCACATGCCAGTGGTAGGCAAAGCCAAAGGCAAAAGTAGGCAGGACAATGAATGTTACCTTGGTACAGTGGTCTGGTTTCTACGCAATTACCTCTGTACCCTCCACCCAGGCAAACAAGACACAGGATCAGAATCCAAGGCTGCATTCCAGCCAGGCAAACACTTGTGGGGCACAAAGCAGGTGAGAGGTGCTACTTGAAGAAAGTTCTGTGAATCAGATAGGGAGGCCTGAAGGTCTGCATTCGGCCCCTGGGGCTGAGGTATCCTGCTCTGGCTGGAAAGTGTATGTTGTCATTGTACAGACAACTTGGCAAAATATAAGCCCCCTCTCTCTCTACACATGTATTACTTTCGTAACTACAAACTTCTTTTTTGTTGTTGCTAGTTTACAACAAACCCTTAAATAAGTACAGATGTCACTGTGATGTACAAAGGAAATTTTATCGCTCAATGTTTACACCAAAGCAAGCCTTACAGCAAGAAGAAAAAAAACGGAAGAATCTCTCCATTGATGAGACAGTAAAGTCTTCCTAGATCCAGCTTCTGCAAAGTTCTCAGTTTAGAATAGAGTCCAGCCAGCACAGACTCTTTCTGTTTCACTGCTATTTTTTCCAGGGCCATGGCTTGTGAGCCACATTCTCATCGGTCTTCGATGCCTCTTTCAGGATCTCCATTACCATGGCGTTATGTTTTTGCCGCTCAGTCAACACCTGTGGGGTAGCATCAGCAAATTCCTGGAGAAAGAAATAAAGATGTTTAGAAGATCCAAGAGAGGTGCCTTCAAGGGTGAAGTCAAACCGCTGGAGAGCTGCAGCTACGGCTATAGAGACAGACACGGGAGGACTACATGTGCCCATTGGGGCCAGTATACTCTACTCTGACTGGCAGCAGCTCTCTCAGGATCTCTGGGGTCTCTTTCTCTTCAGCTGCTACCTTTAGCCGGAAACGCCACGGGCTGAGCCCGGGGCTCCCCGCAAGTGCACCCTGGCTTCCTCTGACCTCCACCTCAAACCCCGGAGACTGGAGCTTTCGCCCACCTTCGCCATCTCCTTTCTGCGCGCTTCGTCCGGCGCGACCACGGCCCAAAGCACAAGCCCCGCGCCCGTGAACCCCGCCACGAACAAGATCCCCTTTGCTACGCGGTAGGCAGTCTCCATGGAAGCAAACGACACCCCACCGCTCCAAAAACACTCCCCAAAAAACAAGCAGGAAGGACCAGCCTCCCTGGAAGAACGAGGGGAAGAAAAAAGGTGGCGCACCACCTAGAGAGCAGAGGTGTGTCTGGGCTAGAGTGTCCCGGCCGCAACCTAGAGATAAGAAAAGGAGAGAGTTATGGAGATGTTAAAGGAGCGCCAAAAAGGGAAGGGAGTCTTGCTCTTTCGAACTCGGGTCTTCATTTGTGTTAGAAGAATTATTTCGGATTTGGTTTTTAAAATTGGTTTTAAAAATTGCCCTGAAAATGCCGTAGCTCGATGGCAGAGCATCTGCGTTGCAATGCCCAAGGTTCAGTCCCCACTGGCGTCTATGGAAGAAGCTCCTTGCCTGAAACCTTGGAGAGCCGCTGCCAGTCAGTGTAGGCAGTATTGAGCTAGAAGGGCCGGTAGATGTGACGGGTTTCTTTTCCCCTGGAAAAATAAAGCACAAGGGGGGTGGGAATCCCACCTCACATCACTGGTAAAAAGATGCCAAAGGGATTATTTTATGGTGTGTTGGAAACCGTATACAGTATCGGACATTGCAGAAAGAGCTCACAGCTTCCTCCCGCGAAGGATCTTAATCTCTCATAATGACCAATGAGCAGAATGAGATTATCCTCGTATTCATTATTTTATATAATATTTATTGAATTTTCCAATTTAACAATCCAACAAAAACCACATTAAATACATTCCAAATTATAATACAACCAAGAAGACCAAATTTTATGCCAAATTATATATCTTTGGGTGACTTCCCATGCTCTGAAGTTCATATTCATTATTTTAGGAATGAGTAATTAACAATAGAAATAAGTAAAGGAGGAGTGGAGAAAATTTAAGGGCTATTTAAAGAAATATTGCAAAATTTATGAAGTTTAGAAGGATGATGGATTAGTGAAATAAATGGTTGACAGTGGTAATGGTTAAGACAAGGAGAAAAATGAGTAAATTAAGTTAAAATACGAGAAGATTTGCTGAGTAATTGATTAGAAATTGGAACACAGAAAGGGGAAGCATGAGGAAGTCAGGGAAGTAAGGTTTAAGAAAATAAGATTTGAAAGTATACTTGTTATTATTTGTTTGTTATGTTTTAATGTATTGTCATGTTTTGTTTTATCTTTGTAACCATAAGAAAAACCTCTAATAAAAAAAATTATATATATAAAAAAAGAAATAAGTAAAGTGCATCTACCTTGAATGCAGCAGATTGCAGGTTCAAGCCCCAGAATCTCCAGATCTGAAGCCCTGGAGAACTGCTGCCAGTCAGTCTAGAATCAGAATTGTATGGGGCCCTGAGGGTCATCTAGTCCAACCCCTGCAATACAGGAATCTCAACTAGATCATACATGACAGATGGGCATTGGATGGACCTCTGCTTTAAAACCTTCGGGGAAGGAGAGTCCACCCGGTCTCGTGGGAGTGTAAGGCACTCCCTATGTTACTTGAATGGGAAGTTGGGTTCTGGCTAATATTAGCTTGCATTCAATTAAATTCTGCATACCCATTGAGATTCATGGACTTCAATTAATCATTTCCATTAATTCCAATGGGTCGACTCTTGAGTAGAGCTAGCCCTGGTACAACCTACTGTTTTGGATTTTTGCTGGAAGCATGTTGTATACTCTGAGCAATTGTATTTCCACTCTCGTTGCCTTTTTGTTGCCTTACAGAAAACTGTTACACAATAATAATATCGGTAATAGGGTAGTATTAAGCTAGTAATTATTTTAGAATAAATAAGAACATCGGAAGCTGCCTTATACGGAGTCAGACTATTGGGCCATCTAACTTCGTATTGACCAGCACTGCCTTTCCGAGTCTCTTTACACACTATAGCTCTGAAGCACATTCAAAGCAATGTTTCCTTTTAAATAATTTTGGTCATTGTGGTTTGTTCAGGGTTGATGTAAGTAAGTCTGTGAGAGGTAAATGACAGTGCCCAGAATTCTTTGAAGGAAAGAACATGTTTCAAATGTGGTTTAATGGTGTAAAGGTAAAAGGTTTATATGCCTAAGGCTTGAGGGGAAGGTGGGATACATGACGGAGCTTGGAAAGAAGGAACGACTGTCATGTACGTAGGTGTTCCAGGAGGTAGTTGCAGGCAAAGGGGTCAGCAAGTGAGAAAGGGCTGTTTCTTTGTCCTGCCTTCTACGCAGAACAGAGTGCTCTTTGTTCCATGGCAACCTATGCAACCTTAAGCAAAAATGGGGAAAGGTAAAAAGATTTCCTTGGCAATCTAGTAAGGCAGTGGTACTCTGAGGGTGTGGCATGCAACATTGGTGTGGCAGGAGAGGGTGGCAAGTGTTGTGGGAAGATTCAGGGACAATCAAAGAAACCTTTAAACATTTCAGCGTAGTATAGGATCAAAATAATTATTTTTATTTGCAGAATGTGGATAGATATCTTTTCAAAACGAGAGCAAGAACATCAAGTGATACTGAAGACAATCGTAGCTGTGTTTTCCAACGTATTTATTATCAATTAAAAAATTGGTGTGGCACGAGCACATTTTTATTCCCAAGAAAAAAGTTTGAGAACCATTGTTATAAGGTGGTTTTAGCCTGGAACACTCTGGCATGGAGAGAAAGTTATCTTCTTCACCTCTTCAATTTCTGGGAGATAAGTTGCTTATAAAGGGCCAGGGGTGGGGCCGGTTAAAAACGAAGAAGCAACTGGCAAAATGTGGCAACCCTACACCTCACTATTGGCTTGTCTGATGAAATGTCACCTTGTGCATTAAAAAACAACAGTATGATATCACAATGTACTTCAGTGTGTCCGCAGTCGGGTAATGTGATTTTGTGGCTATGTACAAATTGAAACATGTGGACATAGGGACATGGGTGGCGCTGTGGGTTAAACCACAGAGCCTAGGACTTGCCGATCAGAAGGTCGGCAGTTCGAATCCCCACGACGGGGTGAGCTCCCGTTGCTCGGTCCCTGCTCCTGCCAACCTAGCAGTTCGAAAGCACGTCAAAGTGCAAGTAGATAAATAGGGAAGGTAAACGGCGTTTCCATGCACTGCTCTGGTTCGCCAGAAGCGGCTTAGTCATGCTGGCCACATGACCCGGAAGCTGTACGCCGGCTCCCTCGGCCAGTAAAGCGAGATGAGCGCCGCAACCCCAGAGTCAGCCACGACTGGACCTAATGGTCAGGGGTTCCTTTACCTTTACACACTGAAAGGCCCCATCGGTCGCGCTGCGTTTCAAGTCAAATTTCTGCATTCCCGTACACACCAGAGAGGGTAACAGTGTCTTCACCTGATACTGCTTACCTGATTTGTTTCCCCGAAATGGCAAACCCCACCTGCCACAGAATTCCTATTCAAGGAAGGCGTCTTCTGCACATGTGTTCCATCATCTGCCTGAACAGTACACATCTCAGCTTGCACTTTCAAATCGGGTGGCAGGTGGTTTGTGGGGAAATGCATGAAACAGAAGAATTTCTAAATAAGACTACGGGATACAGATGAGTGTGAGGCTTCAAATGCCGGTGTTGGGAGCACATTGGAGCCAGAGTTTATGACAATGTGCACATAGCCAATGATGGGTTCCCTTCTCCCCTTAATTGGATTATCATCAGATCTGGGAAATCCAAATTAATTGGAGGGCGGGGGACTTGACTGAGGATGCTGGGAAACCAGGCACAAGTAACTTAATATCCACATTAAATTTATGAGTGGATGAGGCCATATAATCTCAGAGGATGCTTCACAAAAATGGATCACATGATAGGAGATGTGAGGTTGTTGCCTGGATGAACTGAAGCTGGATAATGCTGTTAAATGTTGATTGCCCCTAGAGGGGCAATCCTTCAGGTGCCATATTGTTTACCAGCCCCTGCTCCTGTGCTGTTAGAGACGTTGGCTTGTGTGCGTCAGCAGACTAGCACACTCATCTCCGTGCCGTTTAAATAGAAGCCCCAGAGTTTGCTCTTGCCTTGCTGCCTGGGTGGACAACATTCTGATTTGAATATCGTTTTTCATCACTCGTACCTTCTTCCACAGTACAGTGGTACCTCGGGTTAAGAACTTAATTCGTTCTGGAGGTACGTTCTTAACCGGAAACTGTTCTTAACCTGAGGTACCACTTTAGCTTATGGGGCCTCCCGCTACCACCGCCACACGATTTCTGTTCTCATCCTGAAGCAAAGTTCTTAACCCGAGGTACTATTTCTGGTTTAGCGGAGTCTGTAACCTGAAGCATCTGTAACCTGAAGCGTCTGTAACCTGAGGTACCACTGTAATTAATGATGCTGCGACTTTATTGTGAGGTTGCCTTTTTTAAATCAATGGATGCCTCCCTCAGTGATGCACATGCATCAGAAAGGTTAGATACAAAAATGTATTATTATTATTATTATTATTATTATTATTATTATTAGGTAAAGGTAAAGGTACCCCTGCCCGTACGGGCCAGTCGTGTCCGACTCTGGGGTTGCGTGCTCATCTCGCTTAAGAGGCCGTGAGCCGTCGCTGTCCGAAGACACTTCCGGGTCACGTGGCCAGCGTGACAAAGCTGCAGCTGGCGAGCCAGCACCAGCACAGCACACGGAAACACCTTTTACCTTCCCGCTATAAAGCGGTCCCTATTTATCCACTTGCACTTAGACGTGCTTTCGAACTGCTAGGTGGGCAGGAGCTGGGACCGAACGACGGGATCTCACCCCGCCGCGGGGATTCGAACCGCTGACCATACGATTGGCAAATCCTAGGCGCTGAGGTTTTACCCACAGCGCCGCCCGCGTCCCCATTATTATTATTTAAAAACCCAGAAGTCTCACTTGAGGGTCAAGCCACTATTAAAAGCAGAGGTGCAGGCCCAGCTGGGTTTGTCCCATCAGTTGGCAACCCACCTACACCTTGATATTTGCAATGAGGCACACACAAAGGACAGGCACCACCACTCTCTGTTTTAAGTCAGGCCTTCCCCACCCTTCGCACTAGCCCTGTGACAATCTCTGCCTTGAGCTCATTAGCTGTGCTTTGAGTTTCCATGATCTCAGAGGGCGATTAATATCCAGGGAATAGAGATGGATGGCCAGTGTCCTGGGGTGACCTCACCCCCTGGATCTGGAAGCCCCTCCTTCTCCCCCCCCATTGCTCTGTTATTCTGTCCAGAGCCTGGGGAAGCGAACACCCTCTTTGTCCCACCAATTCCACCAGACAAGGAAGAGGATATTTCCCCTTCTGCCGAAAGACGGTTAGCCCTGGGAATTGGAAGAGGATCCACCCAAGATCCCACAGGACCGATTTCCAGGAAAAGGTGAGAAACTGAAGGGGGGTGGAGAGTTCCTCTTGGCAGATTCCCACCTGAACCTGCTCTCCTGCCTTGCTATTGAGGAGTTCCTATAGGAACGTAGGAAGCTGTCTTAGGCTGAGTCAGGCTGTCGGTCCATCTAGTTCAGTACTGCTTGCACTGACTGGCAGCAGCTCTTCAGGGTTTCAGAGGGGACTCTCTTCTTCCCAGCCCAACCTTGGTTGTATCAGGGACCTTCCGCATGCAAAACATGGAACCACTGAGCCATGGTTCCCCCCTCCCAAATAAAGTAAGGTTCCATGGTTCCTCATAGTTCTGAAGGCAGAGCCGATTTATTTCATTTAATTAAGTTTATATCCAGGCCTTCTTCCCAAAGGAGCCCAGGGTGGCAACCAAGAAGTAATAAAACAATTAAGAAATACCCTTGGAGCCAGTATAGGTCCAGACTGGGAAAGGCTTCTTCAAAGATGAATGCTTTTAGCAGGTGCTGAAAATAATATATAGGAACATGTGAAACTGCCTTTTAGCTCAGTCCATCTAACTCAGTTATTGTCTACACTGACATATCAACCATAGATAGGTTGAAGGGTCAGTTCTGACAAGGAACGTGTAGCCTCTTTAGTTACACCAGCTACCTGTTAATTCCCAGACCCAATTTCAACATGCTAGTAAATGAGGACTTCAGTATGGTATACCACACATTCTGCAATTGCAACTTTCTCCTCTGACTCTGCTCCTGTACTTTGTGCACCAGAAATATTTTTAAGAAGAGTGAAGCTTTTATTCAGGGTAGTGACAAAATATTTGAGGTGGGGAGGGGAAGCTTCACCTCTTTAATTCCTGCATGTTTGTTTGTTTGTTTGTTTGCTTGCTTGCTTTTTAATGTGGCAAAGTTCCCAAACAGCTTCTCTTGAGAGCACTCACATCCACACTCTCCATTTAAATCACATCTCTACCACTTTGTGCCTTCCCTCTAATAATCTTGGGAGTTGTAGCTTGCTATGGGTGCTGGGAACTAAAGCTCTGTGAGGGGTCTCCTCTCAGCATCCCTTTGCAAATGACAGTTCCCAGGATCCTTTGGGGGGAGCCACGAATGCTTAAAGCGGTATAGGAGCGTTTTCAACATGTGGTGAAGATGTGACCTCAGGTTCTGACCAGCCCAACTTTGACATTGCTGCAAATCCCTTAGAGTTTAGGGTTGCTTCAGGAGTTATAAGACTCTGCATTTAATGAGTCTGCCATGCTTCAGAGGAGGATAATATTTCAGTTCCAGGGAGAGAAGGCTCCCCCAGCTGTAATATTTTTGCCACAATAACACCCTGTTATGAGAAAAAAACTGCTCCTTTTCCCCTTATGGGATACCCAAGAGCCCGTAGGTTTTCTGTCGGTAGGAGAAAATAACAAGAGGCCAACCAGAGAATATTGAGAAGCAAAGCAGCTAATAAGCCTGATCTCTATTAAACTACCGCAACAGGATCCCCCACTCCCCCCATGCAGGGAGGGAGGAGGGGAACCCAGAACATTGGTGTGCAAGCTCTTATATAGACTTTTGAAATTGCCCACCCTGTAGCTCAAGACCACCCCCCAAAATATCATACATACATCACAGAAAGAGGTGGTCCCCAGCAAAAATGTGAGTGTGTTGCTTCTCTCCTGTCTGCCAGGATACCTGATAATGCGTTATCTGGTTGCCTTTTCTGGGTAGCCTGGCCAATCCTTGGAGATGGTAAATACTTCCTGAATCAGATACTTGCCAGACTGTATTTACAGGGAGGTGTAAGCCCCTACAGTCCAAAGACAATTGGAAAGCTTTTCCCATTTCCTTCCTCCTTGCAGAGAAATATCTGAGGTCAATTTGGGAGAGTCAAAATGGTTTCAGGATTGCTCTTGTTGTAAACAAAACTCTGCCCAATTTCCCTTATGGGGTATCCAAGGACCCATATAGAGTCCTTACGTAGGTTCCCTATTGGTAGGAGAAGATGACAGAGGCCAACCAGAGAATATTGAGAAGCAAAGCAGCTACTAAGCCTGATCTTTATTGATCTGTTGCAACAGGGTTCTCACTCACCGCACGCAGGAGGGAGGAGGAACCCAGAACAATGGTGTGCAAGCCCTTATATAGACTTTTGAAATTGCCACCCTGTAGATCAGTGTTTCCCAACCGGTGTTCCGCGGCACACTAGTGTGCCGCGAGACGTTGCCTGGTGTGCCGCGAGATGTTGCCTGGAGGGAGGCGGGCGAGTCAGGCGGCGAGAGGCGGGGCGGCGGCGGCGAGGAGAGGCCGCCCAGCGCGGGGCTCTCGCCATCTGCCTGCCAGGCTGCCTGCGTGGCACTGACGTCACGGGGCTGTAACGTGCCCCACATAGGCACACGCGGGGCGGCGAGCGAGCTCCCTCCCACATCCCATCGCCGCTCGCTTTGGCCGGCCTACTGGGCTATCGCAGGCGGAAGGCCTGCGCATGCGCGAGGTTTTCGCGCCTTCGGGATTCCCTTCACGCCTTCCTCCTCCCGGGTCCTTGAGAGTGCGGGAAGCAGCAGCGCGAGACCGGCGTTGAGCCTGGTAGGTATTGCGCTTGCCAAGGCAGTCATTTGGGAAATGAAAACTTGCAAAGCAAGCAACCAGTTCAATCTGAAGTACGTGTATGCTTAATATCCTGTATCTGAAACCTGTTCTGCCCCCTCCCCCACACTTGGTGCCATTTTCATCTACACATGCAGCAGAGTAAGTTGACCCAGAATAGTACCAATTCAGATGGCAGATGGGAGAATGACAGTGCTGAATGCTTTCCCATGTAGAACAGTCCCTGCAAATAAAAACCTAGCATATTTGGAAGAGGGATGCTAGCCTAACCATTACCTTCTATGCTGTTACTATTTTTTTATTTTTTTTTACATAAGTAAAAAGTGACCTTTCCCCATCTGGCATGGTGGTGTGCCTCGAGATTTTTTTCATGAAACAAGTGTGCCTTTGCCCAAAAAAGGTTGGGAAACACTGCTGTAGATCAAGACCACCCCCAGAAACATCATACATACATCACAGAAGGGGTGTAGCTCAAGACCCCCCCCATACATCATACCTACATCACAGAAAGGGCGGTCTACAGCAGAAATCTGAGTGCTTTGTTTACCTCCTGTCTGCCAGGTTACCTGTTTAATGGTCACTTGATTGGATTGCCTGGGGAGCCTGACCAGTCTTTTGTAATGATAAACACTTAGTTCCTGAGCCAAATGTGCCCTTAAGACAGGATTTGTGAAGGAAAAGACAATGGGGAGGCTTTTTCATTTTCCTTTGACCTTGCAGAGAAAACATTTGGTCAGTTTGGGAATCAAAATGGTTTCAGGTCAGTCTTCCTGTGCTGATCTATGTACGTGCTTGGTTGGTACACTTATGAACATTTAACATATATCTAAGACCTCAAAATTCCTATCACACTCTCCTGTACTATTTCAGACACTATACTTATGCATGTCTGTTTGCCTTGTACATTTATGAACATTTATTCTCTCTTTCTCTCTCTCTTTCTCTCTCCCTCCCACCCTCTCTCTCTCGCTCTCTCTAAGACCTTAGAATTCCTATAACAACCCCTTCACGCAGCATGTTCCACGTGGGCCTCCTCTTCTCAGAGGGAGGGAGCAGGCTGCGTATGCAGCCAGGGTCACGTCACCACAGACCCTTTGCTCCACATGCAGTGATGGGATATGTGGGCATATCTTATGGCTGAAGGATTATCTGGCCACGAGGACAAAGCGCTTTAGCGCTTCCGTGAGATCCCAGGCCAGAGTCAGGGCACTCAGACCCTAATCCTTCTTAAGCGGACGCACCCTGAGCTCTCCGCTATCAGAGAGGGACACGATTCTGAGGCTGCACGCACACCACACATTCAAAGCAAAACATGAAACAATCATGGCTTCCCCCTCAAAAAAAAAAGGGGGGGAGCCATTGTTTGTTATTATAGACCCTCCAAGTGTCCCTGTTTTCCAGGGACAGTTGTGGATTTTCAGAAGCCGTTCTGGTTTCTGATTTGATCTCAGAATGTGCTGCTTTTCCTTCAGACATCCCTATTTTTTATCAGATTAATGTTGGAGGGTATGTGTTAAGGTTGCTGAAAGTTGCTCAGAGACCTCTCTCTTCCTCCCACAGAACTAAAAGTTCCCCGTGAAAAGATATTGATTGTTATACCTCTTTGGGAACTGTAGTTCTGTGAGGGGTTTCCCAACATCTCTGCACCCTTGACAAAGGACTGCTGCCATAATTCTTGTTGTATTAAAAGAGTTTCAAATGCTTGTAAAACTGTTGGTTCTAATGACACAAGATTAGGCTGTGGTCCCCTCAGATCTTGTTTTGCTTTTGTGTGTATTCATTTTTATTTTTTGTTTCGGATAGGGGCATCAAAAGCTGGAAGGGGCCTGAGTCTCTCTGGATCTCTCGAGAGAGCCTGCTCCCAGATGCAGTCATGACTGAAATGATGAGGGGCTGTGAGGGCCCTGACACCCCGGGTGAAACGTGTGCTGCATGCCAGATGTCTACAGGAGGTCTGGATCCTGCCATGAGTGGTGAGCCTGGTCTGAACACTGATCAGGAGATGCAGTGGATCTCAGCCAGGGAGGACAGCTCCCACCGAGCGCCTTGTTTGAACACCCAGGTAAGACGGGAACGCTCTTTCGAGCTGCTGTCCACCTCCGTCTTCAGATAATAGAATTCCCTCCTATGCAAGTCCCTCCTTATCCTTCTCATCCAGTGTGTAAAGCACGAATCAGAAAGCCAGTGAATGTCCTCAATGACGTTCCCTGTTCACTAGGGTCTTGGCAAGTGGGACATCCAAATGCAAACTTTGCAGGAGTTGAACTGCAGCTAGCTCAAAGCAGAGTCTCTGTGTGTGAGCTCAGCTGCTTTGTCTACTGCAGGGGTCTGCAACCTTTAAGACAAAAAGAGCCACTTGGACCCGTTTCCGAAGAGGAAAAAAACTGGGAGCCGCAAAACTCATAGAAATAAACGTTAAATTAACAAGTTACTTTTTGTGTGTGTGTGTTCTTCACTCCCCTTCAAAACAGTGACCAGCGTACATGCCCCCTTTCAATGCAGTGACCAGCGTACATGCCCCTTACAATGTAGCAGGCGGGTGGGTGGGAAGGTGACGTCAGGACGGTGCATGACTAACGCACGCACCGCCCCCATGCGACGCCACAGCCAGTACAGCGCCCACCACAGTGGGGAGTGTCGGGGCGCACAATGCGCCTCCTCCCCTCGCTAGTATCCATCCCGGAGCCGCGGCAAAGGTGTAAAAGAGCCACATGCGGCTCCGGAGCCGCGGGTTGCAGACCCCTGTAGCTAGCTCAAAGCAGAGTCTCTGTGTGTGAGCTCAGCTGCTTTGTCTACTGCAATTGGAGTCTTCCCCCCCTCCCCAAACAAGTTTTAGTTATCAGAAGAGTTTTATTTACCAGAAAAGGAAATGGCAAACTGAAGATGATGTGAGCAACATAAACCTTATCACAATTTACTAACTGCAGAATTGTAAAGTTGGAGGTCAGCTAAGTTGCAGCTGGCATAGCTGATGGTCAGGGATGATGGGAGTTGGAGTCCAGTGATGTTTTCGGACTCCAACTCCCATCGGCCCCTTGCTAGCATGTCCAATGGTCAGAGATGAAGGGAGTTGTAGTCCAACAACATCTAGAGGGCTACAGATTCCCCACAGGTGAGCTAGAGCAGCCCAGCAGGTGGTTGTCTGGCTTCCCCTGGAGGGAGAACCCACCCACTCCTCTAGGGCAGGGGGGTCAGCAAACTTTTTCAGCAGGGGGCCGGTCTACTGTCCCTCAGACCCTGTGGGGGGCTGGACTATATTTTTTGCGGGGGTGGGGGGATGAACGAATTCCTATGCCCCACAAATAACCCAGAGATGCCACCGCATCTCACCACACATTCTACTCATGTAAAAACACGCTGATTCCCGGACCGTCCGTGCTGGATTGAGAAGGTGATTGGGCAGGCACCAGCTGCTGGGCCTTAGTTTGCCTACCCCTGCATTGTCAAACTTTTTTTTAAAAAAAAGATATTTATTAAGATTTTACAGAATGAAAAAAGAAAAAAGAAAAATGCAAAATAAAAATAGTTAAAAAACAATTCCATCTTTCCATCACTTATTTTTCATTTGCTTGTTTCCCAGACCTCCTCACACCTCCCTTTTTTGTATTCCAATTCAATTCATTAGTTCAGCAAATCCTTTCCCTCTTTGTTTATCCTAGTCTTTAATCTTAAAATATTATAACATTAAATTTTTACCTGTTAATAATCCATTTTTTCATATTCCTTATAGCGTTATAGCTAAAAAACACTTAACTTTTTATCCAACATCATTCTAACATTCATTAATTTTACAATATTTCTGTAGATAGTCTTTAAATTTCTTCCAATCTTCTTCTATCTTCTTCTTCTTCCCTGCATTGTCAAACTTGCTCTGACCATCAATAAGCTGCTTGAAATCTATGCCCCCCCCCCCGGTAACTTGTAAAGCCCACCGTGGCTGCATGCACACCACACGTTTAAAGCATGTGACTTCCCCCAAAGAATTCTGGGAGCTGCAGTTTTGCCCCTATTATTCCTCGCACCCTTGCCGAACTACAGTTCCCAGGATTCTTAGGGGGGAAATCCTGCGCTTTAATTAAACACAGGGTGCCCAGCACCAGCCTCTCTCTAAGTCCTGAATTCAAAAAATTGTCAGCATGTGAAAAGGCCTTCCGTTCTTTAATTTGGGTTAAAACTTCTTCTGCACTTCTCTCTCCAGCTCTTCCTAAGCCCGCCCCAGGGCCTGGGGGCAGATCCCTTCCGGAGCTCCCCCTCGGAGTCATGCGGCGACCTCCCTGGCGAGACCTACGAGGAGATGTCCAGGGACCCCCTTGAGCTGCCCTGCGAGGAGATGTGCGTCCGGGCAGCCCCTTGCGGGGGCCAGTGCCCGGAATCGCCATGTGAGGAACTGTGTGAGAGTGTCTTCAAGGGGCCAGCCTCCCGGAGGCTGTACGAAGAGGAGCGTTATGTGGAGATGTGGTCAGGGAAGGCTCGCCTGCCCTCCATTGTAGTGGAACCCATCGAAGGGGGCGAAGTGGAAAGCGGGGAGCTGCGGTGGCCCCCCGACTTCACGTTGCTGGAGGAGGCGGAGCAAGACGAGCTCTTTGCTGACGGCGAGGAGGACTTGGGGGCAGGTGAGTGTCCTACTAGTGCCCACCCCCCAAATCCCAACTTGATCTGTGGGTGGGGCTTTTTTCAGCCATAACTAACTCAGTTCTGGCATATCTCCAGTGGGCACCATTACAGTGGTACCTCGGGTTACATACGCTTCAGGTTACATATGCTTCAGGTTACAGACTCCGCTAACCCAGAAATAGTACCTCAGGTTAAGAACTTTGCTTCAGGATGAGAACAGAAATCATACTCCGGGGGCGCGGCGGCAGCAGGAGGCCCCATTAGCTAAAGTGGTGCTTCAGGTTAAGAACAGTTTCAGGTTAAGAACGGACCTCCAGAACGAATTAAGTACTTAACCCGAGGTACCACTGTACTGTTATTTTTGTTGTTTTGGTTTAATTATTTACTTATGTTTTAGCTTGTATTTTATTCATGTGATCCGCCCTCATATCTTTTGATGAAGGGTGGCATTATTATTATTATTATTATTATTATGATTATTAGAAACGTTCATGGTGAGTTCTGGCACCACTTTTTTCTAGAAAAATAGCACCCTAGTATGCCACACTTTACTGAGTGAATACGGCCCAGAATCCTTTGCGATAGATTTTCAAGTTATCCAGGTCCCAGGTCCCCCTGTAACCTCCTCCCTTCTTCCCGTTTTGTTGTTTCCCAAGGATTGTCGTCTTTCGACAGCGACGTGGAGGAGGTGCTTCTGTAACGTTCTGCCCAATGTTTCCCCGGGACGGATGGACAGAAACGGCACCTTCCCAACGCCACCCATGTCTAATCACGACTTGGCAACGTCTTGGAAAGGGACTGTGGGGCATCGCCTTGGAAAGAAGCAAAAGTGGCATCCCGCTGTTTTGTTTCGAGGTGTCTCTCGGAGGGGTAGCAGATGTCAGGAGCTTGTCCTACACTCGAGTAGGACTCTGGCAGAGACACATGCTCGACTGGCATGTTCTCTCCCTCCTGGTCGATCGTTCGGGAGCTTCATAAGCTTTCTTCAGCCCGAACATCACAGCGACCGATGCCAAGAGACATCGGCACACTTAGGGATCCGCAGAGTCTTCGCAGCTTGCGTGATAGACCTCAGCAACTCAGCATTTTGGCTAATCTACTTTATTTACATATAAACACACGCGGAGCACTGCAACATGGCTCCCTCTCTCTCTCTCTAGCATCAGACAGCAAAGAGAAAAAGGACAATAGTTCTACTTCACGGAACACAGTAACACAGACACCCTGTCTCCGTCACTTCCCACTTTCCCAGGCAAAGGGGCCTGAAGACAAACATGGCAATGGTGACTTCAGCGTCATTCTATCAACCGGTATGAACGTCTGTCAGTGGAGGATTAGGCCCGAAGCTCCTTTCCAAAATTCCTACATAGTGCCACCTCCTTTTCCATTTAGCTCTTCGCTTAAACTGGGGCAGGAAAGGCAAATGTGACTCTCTAGGTCTAGAAATGTGAAGGCTTGGGAGAAAAAAACATGGAATAATAATATTTTTTAAAGAAACATCCCCCCCGCCCAGGCCTTCACATCTCAAGCCAAAGCTCTGTCTGGCCCTTGGGAACTCTTTCCAGTCACCTCTGCTCCTCAGACACACCTGTTTCCCCCCCCCCAGGCCCCCCAAAGGCTGTCTAAAAGAGAACGTGGCCCTCAAATTGAAAGGGGTTCTCCATCCTTGGTTTTTTGCCTGCGGCTAAATCCATATACATGCAGCTGGAAGGAGCAGGTCTGTAGCTTGAGGGTAACTCCTGGATCCAGCCCTGTTACTGAAGCCTCAGATGCTTATTTTGAGCTTCAGCTGGTTCGCCAGCTTTTGGACAGGAATGGCTTGGCCACTGTATTCCGCACTCTGGTAACTTCCAGCTGGATTACTGCAACACACTGAATGCGGGGCTGCCCTTGAAGATAATTTGGAAACTTCAAATGGTCCAAAATGAAGCAGCCGGGTTAAGGTCTGGAGTTCTCAATTACTTAGGCCCCAAATAACCGGTATCTGAATGGCTGCCTCTCGAGTGTTAGGATTGGCAGAGGGGGCCTGTTGGTAGTTCTACCACCCTCACAAATTTGGGGTGGTGGAGGCCTGGGCAAGGGCATTCTCTGTGGCAGCCCCTCTATTGTGAAATTCCTCCCTACAGTCTTGTATATGGCACCTGCATTATGTAATTTTTGTCATATGCCGAATATTAACCTCTTTGACACCTCAGATATACTGGTATGTATATCTTAGAACCCATCCTGTTCTCTCGACTGTCATCTGTTTTAACTTATTTTAAAATAACGTATTTTTAAGCTGTTGTAACCCGCACTGGAACCTGATGGTGAAGGGTGGGTGAGAAATGTAATAAATGAGAATAACTCTCAAACTGGCTCATTTTCATTCCCTTTTGCCATTCCTGTTGTTTTCTGCCTCTAGCGCTTTCTTCCCTGGGTCGGCTTGCTTACACAGAAAAGTTTTTAGCAGACATCAAAAACAGCACAACAAAGGCGCCTGCCTAAGATCAAGTGGCAGGGAGTTCCAGAGAGCAGATGCTGCCACACTACATGATTGATTGCTTGAAGAGCATTAGCTAGCACCCAATTTCTAAACCCCAGCTGGCCTCAAAGGTTTTACTTCACCCCATAGGATAGTTTTTCGGTCCCTCTTCTATTTGACGGCGCCACTGGTCCCTGAAGAGTCTGGGCTTAGTATGTAAGCATAGTAACAGATGCCACCGATATGCGTGATTTCCTTCACGGTAACTTTCACCCGTCCTGCCTGTTCCAAAAATGGCACCCTGGCATCCGGATCCTCATCGGAAAACTGAAGCAGGTTCCCCGTGGGCCTCAGCACCCTCAGGCACTCTGACACTAACGTCTTGGCTCTGCCCGGGCCCTGGGGGCATCGTAGCAGCGTATCACAGGTCCCCTTGTCGAGTACGAGGTGGAACGATCCCTCCTCGAAGGTGCTGGTCAAGGCAGTGGCATCGGCCAGGAAGCAGTGCAGTTCTGAAAGAGGGTGCCCCGGTGGTGGGCTCTCCCTCACCAGCTGGCGCAGGGAGTCAATGGCTGGAGGGGAGAAATCCAAACACGAGATGTGAAGTTGCCGGGGCGAGTCTCGAAAGAGCCCCAGACTTAAAGCGGATGTGCCGCAGCCGACGTCTAGTATTTGGGTCCGGCCAGCCGGCAAGCTCTGAAGGAAGGAGAGCAGGAACTCCGAGACATCATCGTAGGAAAAGAACCAGTCAAAGTGGCCATGATGCGAAGCTCCTTTCTCTTTAGCGGTGTAGAAGCGGTCCCAGGAGTCACGCCGGTCCATTTGCCGAAGGAGATCATCTGGAAGATGGATGGAGGCAGAAGGGGCCGCATGTGAACTGCGAGGCCACATATTGTTGGACCTCAGCTCGCCTTGCCTTTCTCTGACCCCACAAAAATTTAAAACTAAACACATACCGGTATGTAACGAACAAAGCTTTGCAGGGTTAAAGAAAGAGAAAAATGGTGCAAAAAGTATAAAGATAGAGGTACTCTACATTAGACACAACAAATTAGAAAGAGTAAAAATTTCGAGGTCTTAGAACAAAGGAAGGAAGTCAATATGTGTATATGTACATAATGATTAGAATGGCGATATGGTTTTATTTGTAGATGTGTGAAGTTTTTTGTTTTTCTTGTGTTCTTTTTTGGTTTTTTTCTTGTTTGTACTGTTTTATTTTGGATTCAGTGTTTGGAATTTTTGTTGTAATTTTGCATTGAAAATTAAAAATTTAAAAAACAAAATAAAACTAAACACACAGGGTACAGTGGTGCCCCGCAAGACGAATGCCTCGCAAGACGAAAAACCCGCTAGACGAAAGGGTTTTCCGTTTTTGAGTTGCTTCGCAAGACGAATTTCCCTATGGGCTTGCTTCGCAAGACGAAAACGTCTTGCGAGTCTTGCGATTTTTTTCGCTCCCCCCCCCTTTTTCTAAGCTGCTAAGCCGCTAATAGCCTTTTAGCCGCTAAGCCTTTAATAGCCGCTAAGCCGAAAAAACCGCTAGACGAAGAGACTCGCGGAATGGATTATTTTCGTCTTGCGAGGCACCACTGTATTCTCCAGAGCGCAGTCCTAAGCACATTTACTCAGAAGTTAAATCCAAGGTGGTTTACTCCCTTGGCATTAACCAGCCCTTTTTTGTGACTTAGAATCATAGAATTGTAAAGTTGGAAGGGACCCCAAGGGTCATCTAGTCCAACCCCCTGTCACAAAAGCAGGACATTTATTATTTGATGTATATTCAAATTTATTATTTGATGTACATTCCCTAATCGTGTTTGTTATGTTCTCATTTGTTTTATAATTGGAAAAAATCGTCATCATCATTGCAGGACAAAAATAAACCAGAAGATTTGTGATATAACAAAGTTACAGGATTCAAGCAGAAGGTTGCAGCATTATGCGCCGATTTGGGATGAAGCAGTGTGGCTGCCCCAGGACTTTTGCAGGCTCAAACTGTATTGAAAGCTGGATTGCATACAATTGACCCGACACGGTCATGATAAGCACAAATCATCATGCGTAAGCATCAGACAGGATGTTGGGAGTGGCCCTCAGTACCTTAAAAGGCGGATTTTGCCCTTCTGTGGGACTCCCTTGGGGTAGCCATTTTCCCAAAGCATAATTCAAAAGTTGGAATCAGAGTGGGGAGGGACCCTGGGGAACATCTAGTCCAACCCTCTATTTCTTCCAATCATGAACACCGGTGTTGTGTGCCGACTGAAACGCAGCAAAAATGGGATCACCAAGAATCAAGAGGAAGGAATCAGCATGCTCAAGGCAGACTGTGAGATTTGCCAATGCACAAACACCATCGGAGAAGGGGGAAAATATTGGTTATATTCTTTTTAAAAAATTATTTGGGGGGGGGGAAATGATCACTTATACTTAAATCCTGCTCTTACATGACATGATCTCCCATCCAAGGACTGATGAAGCACAAAACCGCTTAGCTTCTGCACCTGATGCTCTCAGACCAATTGTGTGTGTGTGTGTGTGTGTGTGTGTGTGTGTGTGTGTGCATGTGAGTGTGTAAGGTAAAGGTAAAGGGACCCCTGACCATTAGGTTCCTGTCGTGACCGACTCTGGGGTTGCGGCGCTCATCTCGCTTTACTGGCCGAGGGAGCCGGCGTACAGCTTCCGGGTCATGTGGCCAGCATGACTAAGCCGCTTCTGGCAGCAGAGCAGCGCACGGAAACGCCGTTTACCTTCCCGCCGGAGCGGTACCTATTTATCTACTTGCACTTTGACGTGCTTTGGAACTGCGAGGTTGGCAGGAGCAGGACTGAGCAACAGGATCTCACCCCGTCGCAGGGATTCGAACTGCCGACCTTCTGATCGGCAAGTCCTAGGCTCTGTGGTTTAACCCACAGCACCACCCTCATCCCTTTGTGTGAGTGTGAGTGTGTACACACACATAAGAAAATGCAGACAAACAGCATAAGACTCTTTACATAGCAGAGCATTCCTGTTTGGGGTGCCCTCGTCTGTGGTTGTGTATACATTTAAAGCGCCCACCTTCCCTCAAAGAACCCTGGGAAACTGCAGCTTACCCCTCACAGCGCTACAATTCCTGGCACCCCTTTAACGAACTACAGCTCCCAGAAATCTTTGAGGAGCACGTGCGCTTCAGATGTATGGCCTGTTTGCACCATAGATGGCAACACCATCTAATAAATCTCCAAATCCAGAGCCCAGCCGCCGCCTAAGCTTGGATGCAAGCAGATCAGGATGAATGCTCAGATCCCTTGAAAGGAGCCTTTTGCAAACCTCAATTGTGCGTGCAAAAGCTCCCTGCCCTCCCTTTTTCTCCTTGGCGTGAGAGGCACCCACCTGACCAAAAGGAAGAGGAAGAGGCAGAAGAAAGCGAGGAGCGCACCAGCGTCCTGAAAACACCCCGAGGACCTTTCAGCCAGCTTGCTGCTGCTGCTGCCATCTTCAGTGGGGCGGGAGGAAGGGGGAAGGAGGAGCTAAGGAGCTCTACAAGGAGGAAGTGGCCGATCTCTGCAAAGCCGCATCTGCAGCCCCAGCAGCAGCAAGAGACAAGCGGCATCTGGGTCAACTGCAAAGCAGATCCAACTTTTGCCACCGTTTCCCCGATGTGTCTACTGCTCTGCCCACGTGGGAGGATGTTGAATAATGCTTGGAGGGAGCACGGACCCACCGATGTGAACTAGGGAAGGGGGTTGATGAGGTTGTCGTTATCTGCTAATTGGGTGGGTTTGTATTGCTTTGTTTGCTGTTTGGGTTTTGCTAAGGTTGCTTGTTAGTGTTTATGGGGCTGCGGTGCTGTTGCGATTCTTCCTCGAATTTATTTATTTTTAGTTCATAAAATTTATACACCGCTAAGCCCCTCAAAGAGGTCTACTGTTCAAGACTTTTGAAACGTTAAAATAACATCCGACTGAAAATAGATTAAAACTCGCATCGACTGTATAAAAACTTGCCCACGCTTGCAGGAACAACAATGTTTTTAGCAGGCAGGGGAAAGAGTAAAGTGAAGACATGGTATCAATCGGCAGGGAGTTCCAAAGGGTACTTGTGCTGCCATCCTAAGAGACTTGAGTTATTAAAAAATGCAGAATGGGTCTTATGTGGCACGTCCACGTTGCAGAGACGGTTCACCTTTAAGCTCCATATAGGATCTAATTCCCAAAGCTTCAAACATTCTAATGGGGTCGAAGCCCTTTCATTTTATGAATATATGAATGAGCATGCTGGGATAGCTCAGTCCGTGTAGCATGAGACTCAGCTTCCGGATTGTGAGTTCAAGAGCCGCCGCCCCCCTTGGGCAAAAGAGTCCTGCATTGGTGGCGGTTGGGCTAGATGACCGCTGGAGATTCCTTCCAACCTTTACGAGTAAACAAATATAATAATTAACGGGTGTATTTTCTTGAGACATAGGAAATCAAACCGAGCTTACACACAGCATTGAGAAAAAAACTTAAACTATAGCTGACAATAAAACAAGGAATTAAAGCTTTATCTATTTTTTGCACCAACAACATTCCCCCCAGAAGGAGGTGCACCGTTCCTGGAGGTACTGCAATACCAGGTCGATGCATGGAGTGGATGGAGCAAGCCCCTATTCCATCTCCCAGCTCCAAAAATCCATTTAATATATAGTCCTCAAATAGAGGACATATCAGATATTAAACTGATAAGAACAGATACTACACTTGATCTTAGCCAAAAGGCCGAGAAGCGATACCAATAACACCAAAAGTGACGCGGGTCTCCTTTTCCGATGCCTTTTGAGCTGTCGGTGGGTACCTGGGTGCTGCAAACATCTCACCGCCCCCTCGGAATCAGCACCGTTTCCAATTCCACAAAATACACTGTGGCAACACTTCTCCTTCGGTTGTCCAACTCAGCACCCTCTAGATCGACAATTTAACCTCAAAACTAGATTATTCTTTCGATCTTATCAATTTCTCAGCAATCTGCCTGGTTACTCCGATGGCGATTGGTGCTAAATCTGCATACTCCCGCCCATTTACACGTCAGGCTCCTTGTAACTGTTAACTCATTGCGTGCCAGTACAGGTCCCCAAAGTTTCCCGTTCCTAACTTCCTGTTCCCCTTGAGAGCATCCTGCAAAAACTCAGCTGTCAAGCCAAGCAAAGCAGAGTTGCAGAATAAATATTTCCCTTATTCCAAGCAACTTTAAGGAACTGCAGGTTCCAGGGCGTGTTGCCTGGTTTGCATTGGGACTGAAGCGGGAATGCAGGGAGCCCAGGCAGGAAGTGGAGCCAGAATGACAGAGGTGGGGCCAGATAATTCTCCCTTTCTCTCCTCCTCCTCCTCCTCCTCCTCCTCCTCCTCTGCCTCTTCCCTGCAGAGTTCTGCAAAGACAAGTCTGAGTCTACTCTAAGGAGAAGGAAGTTGGCAGGCAGGGGCCCCCCCTTGTTCCCTAGGAAGGCAGGCAGAAGGGGGCTGGCTGAGGTTAGTGGGGCAGCGGCCATTCCCTTAAACAGGCAAATGAGAACCAATGTCCCCATTTGCATGCCATTTCCTTTGCACGGGAATGAACGCACTGAAACGAGCATCGTAAAATAACATAATCATACTGTAATTCATTGTGTAAAATTCTGCCACAGCAGACAGCTAGACCAGTGTTTCCCAACCTTTTTTGGGCAAAGGCACACTTCTTTCATGAAAAAAATCTCGAGGCACACCACCATTAGAAAATGTTAAAAATTTAACTCTGTGCCTATATTGACTATATAAAAAGTACAGTGGTGCCTCGCAAGACGAAATTAATTCGTTCCGCAAGTCTCTTCGTCTTGCGAGTTTTTCGTCTTGCGATGCACGGTTTCCCATAGGAATGCACTGAACATCAATTAATGCGTTCCTAGGGAAACCGCCTTCAGACCAGGTCCGGGGACAGTCTGTCCCCCGACCTCTTCTGAAGGCTGGGGGGGGGGGACAAGAGCTTTTCTTCCCACTGCCAGCCTTCAGAAGGCTGTTCTGAAGGCTGGCGGTGGGAAGAAAAGCCCTTCTTCCCACCTCCCGCCCCGCAAGCTCCGGGGACAGGAGGGCTTTGCTGCCGACCGCCAGCATTTTAAAAGCCCCTGCTGTCCCGGGGCGATTTTAAAATGCTGGCGGGCGGGAGCGAAGTCTCCGCTGCCCCGGGGAGATTTTAAAATGCTGGGGGTCGGCAGCGAACGCTTCGCTCCCGCCCGCCAGCATTTTAAGATCGCCCGGGGCAGCGGAGAAGTCTCCGCTGTCCCGGGAAGGCAGGCGGGGGGAGCAAAGACTTTTGCCCCCGCCTGCCTTCAGAAGAGGTCCAGGACCTCGTTCCGATGCCCGGCGGCGGGGTGCGAGGTTCCCGCCCCACCGCCCGGCATCGGGGCATCGTTCCGATGCCCGGCGGCGGGGTGCGAGGTTCCCGCCCCACCGCCCCGCTTCGGAGCAGCTCTCCGAAGCGGGGCGGCTGGGGCAGGTGTTCCCGCCCCCCCCGCCCCGCTTCGGAGCAGCGTTCCGAAGCGGGGCGGCTGGGGCAGGTGTTCCTGCCCCCCGCCCCGCTTCGGAGCACCGGGAGAAGCGATCTCCCCGCAGCCCCTTGCTTCAAAAGAGGTCCGGGGGCAGCGGGGAAGAAGCGCTGCGCTTCCCGCTGCCCCCGGACCTCTTTTGAAGCAAGGGGCTGCGGGGAGATCGCTTCTCCCCGCAAAACCTTGCTTCAAAAGAGGTCCGGGGGCAGCGCGAAGCACTTCCCGCTGTCCCCGGACCTCTTTTGAAGCAAGGGGCGGTGGGGAGAAGCGATCTTGGGCGCCGCGGCGCGCAGGCGCACTGCTCGCTCCTCTTTCCGCGCAGGCGCCTTCTCTCGCTCTTTCGCCTCCTTTTCTTTCTCTCTCGATGGTCCGCCTACAAAGGAGCGAGGGAGGCGCCCGCCATGTTTGGATTTGCATCCAGCAGGAGATGCCGCCGCCGCCCCGCCTCTCCCGCCTCCCTCCCACGGCACACCAGGCAAGGTCTCACGGCACACCAGTGTGCCGCGGAACACCGGTTGGGAAACACTGAGCTAGACAAATAACTTGACTCTTGATGGAAGGCAAACTGCAGCAGAAGGGAATCAGTGCTGCTTGTGAGGAGCAGGAGTAAGGACAGAAATTGATGCCTTCTTAAATCTCTAATTTATTGGGCTGCAGTGTTGGGGGGAGTTCCTGAAATCTGCTGCATATTTGTTAACCCATTCATTGAAATGCCAGGCTTACGTAGTCAAAATGGCGCCCTCCCTGGAGATATAAGCGGGCAGGACGGTTTGGAAAGTACAACAAATATATATATATATTTTTAAGGAGGAAACCAATGATGACTAAGTAAAGTCAGTGGCCATGGAATGCTGAGCGGTTGGGTGGGGAGGTGATTGGAACATTTTGGAAACAGAGCCTGGCTGGTTAGAATTTGGAACTAGTACATTCCGAAGCAGAACATTATGCTACTTATTTCATTTTTTATTTTTTCTGAACCAGCCGTATTCCTCCACAGAGATGAGGTGCTGTGTTCCTGGAGGCACTGCAACCCCAGGCTGACACAAGGCTTTTTTATATGTAGTTTTGACTAACACACACATTTTTGCAGGCAAGCTCTTTTTAATACAGTCATACCTCTGGTTGTGAACGTGGCAATCTGCAACCTGAAAACACACAACCCGCAGCGTTTGTAACCCGAGGTAGGACTAATGCACTTTTGTGTGTCCTTTTCATCACTTCATTTATTTTCTCCAAATACATGTATTTTTGCAACTTTCGGTTAGCTACTGAGCTTTGGTTTTCAACACGTTCCAAACAACTTTCATCTATTTTTTGCACCAGTAATATTCCCCCCAGAGGGAGGTGCACCGTTCCTGGAGGTACTGCAATACCAGGTCGATGCATGGAGTGGACGGAGCAAGCCCCTATTCCATCTCCCAGCTCCAAAAATCCATTTAATATATAGTCCTCAAATAGAGGACATATCAGATATTAAACTGATAAGAACAGATACTACACTTGATCTTAGCCAAAAGGCCGAGAAGCGATACCAAAGGAAACAAAAATGACACGGGTCTCCTTTTCCGATGGCTTTGGTGGTGATGGTGGGTACATGGCGCCGCAAAGCTCTCACCGCCCCCTCGGAATCAGCACCGTTTCCAATTCCACAAAATACACTCCGACAACATTTCCAACTCAGCACCCTCTAGATCGACAATTTAACCTCAAAACTAGATTATTCTTTCGATCTTGTCAATTTCTCAGCCATCTGCCTGGTTACTCCGATGGCGATTGGTGCTTAATTTGCATAGACCCACCCATTTACCCAGCAGGCACTGTGAAACTATTAATTCATTGCGTGCCGGCAGAGGTTCCAAATCTTTCCCTTTGATAGTTTCCTGTTCTGTTGAGAGCTTCTAACTTGAAAAGCTGTAAAAGGAATTTCCAGCACTTAATGACTGCTGACAATCTATCTGGTGACA